GTTCTAAGTCCTGTTTTGCTTGTGGATTACCTCATTTCCCTTTACCGAGCCCTATGAATAATGTACTTTTCCATTTCCTTTTCTCTGTGTGTGTGTGTGTGTGTGTGTGTGTGTGTGTGTGTGTGTGTGTATGTGTGTGTGTGTGTGTATGTGTGTGATGGTCCTGGGGCTTGAACTCAGGGCCTGGGCACTGTCCCTGAGCTTTTGCATTCAAGGCTGTCATTCTCCCTCTTGAGCCAGATCTCTGCTTCCAGTTTCTGGTGGTTCATTAGCATTAAGAGTCTCACAGAACTTTCTACTCAGGATGGCTTTGAACCATGATTCTCAGATCTCAGACTCCTGAGTAGTTAGGATTAAAGGCATGAGCCAGGGGCTGCGAAGGTGGCTCAGTGGTAGAGTACTTGCCTTGCATACATGAGGCCCTAGGTTCAATTCCTCAGCACCAGCACCACATAAACAGAAAAGGCTGAAAGTGGCACTGTGGCTCAAATGGTAGAGCACTACCCTTGAGCTGAAGAGCTTAGGGACAGGGCCCAGGCCTAGAGTTCAAACCCCATGACCAACGAAAATCAAAAAGAAAAAGAAAAGGCATGAGCCACTGGTGCCAGAGTCTATTTCCCTTTTAAAAATAAAGACACTGGGATAGCCGGGAGCCAGTGGTTCACACCTGTAATCCTAGCTACTCAGGAGGTTGAGATCTGAGGAACGCAGTTCAAAGCCAGCCTGGGTGGGAAAGTCTGTAAGCCTCTTATCTCTCAATAAACCACCAGAAAACCAGAAGTGGCGCTGGTACTGTGGCTGAAGTGGTAGAGTGCTTGCCTTGAGTTGAAGAGCTCAGGGACAGTGCCCAGGCCCAGACTTCAAGCTGGGTAACCAACCAAAAAACCAAAAAAAGACACTGGGACAGCGGCAGAGTCTCATTCAAGGTCACTGAGTCAGTGGGACTTCTATCCTAGATGACTCCTAAACCAGAAGTCAGCCTTTTGCTTTGTCCTAGCACTGGATTATGGGTAAAGGGGCTGCATTTGTAGGGAGAGAGAGGTGATTCACCTTCATCCCAGATTTTGTTTCCCCACCAACTGGCAAAACTGCCTCCCTTTCTCTCTGTCTCCTTTTCTGATTCATTTCCCATCTGCTAGAGGTTTCTGGCTTTGGGGGGCTGTGGATGACGCAGAAGGGAAGCAAGCTGTGGGGGGTGGGGAGGGAGGCACACACATTCAGGTACTCCTTCACTGACAAATGGTTTTCCTGCTCTCTAAGCAACTCTAAGCACTAAGTCAACATTCTAAGATCTGATGATCCTGATGTCCCTGGTGCTCCTGTGAGGATTCATTGCAGGGTACCTATTGAGAGAGTACAGAGCAGAAGTCACGTATGGGAAAGAACAGTAAACCTGATGTGAGCCAGTCATCTTAGTGAATCAGGAGACTGGGAACTGAAGATGGATGTCCATAGCCAGCCTGGGCAGGAAAGTCCACAAGACTCTTACTCAAAATCACTAAAAATCCTGCAAGTGGATCTGTGGCTCAAGTGGTAGAGTGTCAAATTTGAGCAAAAAAGCTCAGGGATGGAAGCAAGATGGCAGGTTCCATGGGATAAAAATTAGTGTGCTGCTTGGCGCCCGTGGCTCACACCTGTAATCCTAGCTACTCAGGAGGCTGAGATCTGAGGATTTGGTTCAAAGCCAGCCCGGGCAGGAAAGTCTGTGAGACTCTTATCTCCAATAAACCACTAGAAAACCTTAAATGGCGCTGTGGCTCAAGGGGTAGAGCGTTTGCCTTGAGCTGAAGAGCCCAGGGACAGTGCCTAAACCCAGAGTTCAAGTCCCACGACCCAAAAAAAAAAAAAAAAAAAATTGGTGTGCCTAGAAGCAGATTTTAAAGGAAGTTTCTTTTGAAATATCTTTTCTCAGCTGGGTGCCAGTGGCTTAGGCCTTTAAACGTAGCTACTCAGGAGACTGAGATCTGAGGATTGCAGTTCAAAGCCAGCCTGGGACAGGAAAGTCCATGAGACTCTTTTTTTTTTTTTGTTGGTCGTGGGGCTTGAACTCTGGGCCTGGGCGCTGTCCCTCAGCTCTTCAGCTTAAGGCGAGCGCTCTACCACTTGAGCCACAGCGCCACTTCCGGTTTTCTGGTGGTTTATTGGAGATAGGAGTCTCATGGTCTCTCCTGCCAGGGCTGGCTTTGAACCGCGATCCTCAGATCTCAGCCTCCTGAGTAGCTAGGATTACAGGCGTGAGCCACCAGCGCCCGGCTCCACGAGACTCTTATCTCCAATAAAACCACTTAGACAACTGGAAGTGGCGCTGTGGCTAGAGCACTAGCCTTGAGCTGAGGAGCACAGGGACAGCACTCAAGCCCAGAGTTCAAGCCCCACGAAAGTATCTTTTCCCATCTTGCCTGATAAGCTCCTGGTACACAATGGTGGCAGCAGTAAAATGATTAATTACAAAGTTGAGCTTGCTTTGTCCTCTGATGGCAGGATGATAGTATGTTACCACCTTCTGTGGACATTCCATATGAACACACTAAACCCATCCCTCAACCAGATCCTGTGCATAATAATGAAGAAACACTCGATTAAGTGCCGAAAACCAGATTGGGAGAAAAAAAAATCAACCTCTTGAACAAGGACCTATGATAGGACAACTTAGTAAAATGTTCTTTACTACTAAGCATCGCTGGTATCCTCATGGACAGTATCAGACATAAGAAAGTGAAGCCTTCAAAAGACAGATGAGCCGGGCGCTGGTGGCTCACGCCTGTAATCCTAGCTACTCAGGAGGCTGAGATCTGAGGATCGCGGTTCAAAGCCAGCCGGGGCAGGAGAGACCGTGAGACTCCTATCTCCAATAAAAACTACCAGAAAGCTGGAAGTGGCGTTGTAGCTCAAGTGGTAGAGCGCTCGCCTTGAGCTGAAGAGCTGAGGGACAGCGCCCAGGCCTGGAGTTCAAGCCCCATGACCGACAAAAAATAAATAAATAAATAAATAAAAGACAGATGATATCAAGGCTCTAAGAAGAATGAGAGAGAGAGAAAACTAGAAAAAGAGAGAGAGATCATCCTCCTCTTTATTTGCCATTTGAAGAAATACAATCACCAGTAGGGTATATAGTAAAGTAATAAAAATTCTTTTCATTACAAAAAAAAAAAAAAAAGCTCAGGGACAATACCCAGGCCCTGAATTCAAGTTCCAATACCAACACACACACACACACACACACACACACACACACACACAACGTGCATCTGTATGCCTGGATAAATTAAAGTGTTTTGAGCAATGCCTGGAATCTAGTAAGTTCCCAGCAAGCCTGGGCAGCAATCGTCAGTGTCCATACTTATGGCAAAATTGTTGGCAGCCTGCGTCTAGCCAGAATTCCCCACTCCCGAAGGGGCCCTGGATATCTTAAATATTCCACAACAAAACTTCTAACCCTCCTGCCCATCCCTAAAGTTATTTTTAGCCAGATTTTTTTTTTCTTTTGGTAGGTTGTGGGGTTTGAACTTTGGGTCTAAGCATTGTCCCTGAGCTCTTCAGCTCAAGGCAAGCACTCTACCACTTGAGCCACAGTGTCACTTCTGGTTTTCTGGTGTTTATCTGGAGGTAAGAGTCTCACAGAGGGGCTGAGAAAGTGGCTCAGGGGTAGAGTGCTTGCCTTGCAGACATGAGGCCCTAGGTTCGATTCCTCAGCACCACATAAGCAGAAAAAGCCCAAAGTGGTGCTTTGGCTCAAGTGGTAGAGCACTTGCCTTGAGGCTGGCTTTGGACCTTGATCCTCAGATCCCAGCCTCCTGAGTAGCTAGGATTACTGGAGTAAGCCACGGAGCCCAGCTCCAGATATATATGTATGTTTTTTGTTTTTGTTTTTTGGGTCCGGTCGTGGGGCCTGAACTGTGGGCCTGGGCGCTGTCCCTCAGCTCTTCAGCACTTCCAGCTTTTTTTTTCTGCTTATGTGGTGCTGAGGAATCGAACCCAGGGCCGCATGCATGCGAGGCAAGCACTCTATCACTGAGCCACCTGCCCAGCTCCAGCTATGATTTTTTAAAATCTATAAAATGGAAGTGAAAAGAGCTTAGTAGGGTTGTGGTGAGGATGTTAAAGAAAAGCATGTTCCTTCTCAAGGCATGGTCACAGAAATTCTTTTTGTTTGGGTAAAGGCTAGCGACTGATCTACCACTTTGAGCCGCAGCTCCATTTCCGGTTTTCTGGCGGCTAACTGGAGATAGAGTCTCACAGACTTTCCCTGCCAGGATGGCTTCGATGGGGCGATCCTCGGATCGCAGCTTCCTGAATAGCTAGGTTTTCAGGCGTGAGCCACCGGCGCCCGGCTACACTTGTCAGTACTGTCAGGAACTTTCCTAAGTATTTCCATAAGGCAGGTCTCCCGCGGAGCACACGTTTCCTGCGGGAACATGGAGGGTTAAGAGTGTCAGTTGTCAAATCATTCTCCCACCGTCGTGTAAATTCCAGCCTCGAATTCAAGACTTGAACCCAGAACCTTGCAGGAAGGAAGGAAAGCCTGGACAGAGGATGCCAAGGGCTTGTGCTTAAGGCCTGGCGACCAGTTCCCGATCTACGCTCAGCCAGCTCTTCTCATTCCATCGGGAAGGTACCCCGAGGGTCTGGGACCCTGTGAGCTACACCAAACAGGCTCTGTGGAAGAGCGAGGGCAGAGTCCTCCAGAGGAGTAGAGAACTTAGCACCGCTGGACTGGACTGTCGATGAGCTGATCTTTGATTTAGACCTTGCTTATCTGTAAAGTCGAGGGAAGAAGAGGCACTTCGGTCGCGGGTCGCTGGGGAATCTTGCAAACGCTGCCCTTCAGTTGCCGAAAGACTCCCCCCGCCCCCCACTCCCCAGCCCCCCGCTTAAAGAACGGCCCACATGCCTCAGCGGAGGTTTATCCTCCGCCAGGCCGGCAAAAGGGACGCGTCCCCTTTAAGGCGGCAGCTCGCCGGCGGCGGCGGCCGGAAGTGTTGAAGCCCGGCCTAGCGGCGGCGGTGGCGGTAGCTGCCGTGGCGGCCTCTGCGCATGCTCCGTCGCCCGCCCGCCCTGGCCGCTCGCCGCCCGCCCGCCCGACGGAGACGGTGAGGAGGGGGAGGGGTGGGCGCGCGGCGCGGGGTGGGGTGGGGGCGGGGGGGGCGGGCGCGGGGGGCCGCGCGGCGGCGGGCGAGGGCGGGCGGACGGGCGCGCAGGGGGCGGGGGGCTGCTGCCTCCGCGGGCGCCTCCCCACGCCCTGTGCGTGCCGCCGCCGCCGCCGGGGAGCGAGCGGACGTCGCGGCGCCGCGGGGGGGGTGGGGGGACGCTGCCGCTGGGTCCGCCCGAGCCGCCGGGCCGCCCCCAGCGCGGCCGGCCGCGGCGCCCGGGCTCGGGTCCCGGCGGAGGGCGGCCGCGCCGCCGAGCCCCCGGACCAAGGGGGCCCCGGAAGTCCTCGCCGGAGGGGGCCGGAGCCACTCCGGATCGAAACGTCCGGGAGCCCAGGCCCCCCGCGAGGGGCTCCGGGGAAACCTGGGGTGCCCAGAGAGGCGGGGTCCGGGGGTTCCGGCCCCGCGCGGAGCAGCTGGGGGGCCCCTGGGGGGAGGGGACCGGTGCCCGTCGGGGGCCGCCCGGGCTGAGGGGGGGATCCTACCGAGGAAGGAGGGCCCAGCGCTCACGGGAGGGGCGCGTGACTGGGCCCGGCCACGGGCGGCGGGCTAGGGAAGGGGGTGGGGGGCCCTTTGGGAAGGAGCTTCCAGAAAGAGCGAGCAGGCCCGAGGCGTCCCCCAGGTGAGGGGACGATGGGACGACCCCGGGAGCCTTCGGACGCAGCGGGGAGCGCGGGGCGCCTGGGAGGCGCGCTGGGGGCCGAGCTCGTCTCCCGGTGGGAAGCCTGGTGGAAAAGTGCGGAGACGACCATTGAGGGGGACAAGAGGAGTGTCCCCCTGCGCCAGGACATCACTGGGGGACCGACCAGGTGTCGGCTACTGGAGGGGCGGGACGTGAGGATCGTGGAGACAGCCCCCACTGGACTCAATAGGGATTCACGGAAGGCTTGGCTGGCCAAGGGGCAGCAGAGCCCAGAATTCTCTCCAAATGAGAGCGATCTCATTCACGGTGTCTGGAAGAACCGAGAAATAGGAGTTTCCTCCCCGTGGGGAGCTGGGGGGATTCTTCTCATCGAAATCCCCACTGCCACTTGCTAATTTTTTTTTTTTTTTTACCAAAGTGAGTTTGTGGGACATTTTCACTAAGTGATTTTACAGTCTCTGATTGACTTTGTGCATTTATTGTTACCGACGGAAATGGTGATTTTTCATTTTTACTGCAGCAAGCACATTGAATAGCTAACTTCTGCTTCTCTTGATTTAAGTTGGATTAACCGGGGCCCTATTTTGGTACCCTGGACTCCCATGGGGGGGGGGTACTCCACTCTCCAAACATCTACATAGTTATCGCCAATCCATGATTTACCCAGAACTTTATTTACTCTGGCTATTTCTCTCCTGTGCAATCTACTTGGCTTCAGTATGTTTGATTGCACTCTGAATCATTTGCTAAATGCAGGAGAAGGAATAAAGAAGGGAGGAATTCTGAGAATTTTGACCTTAAGTAACAAAGTTTCAATCTGAAGTTTGCTTTTTTTTTTTTTTTTTTTTTGCTCTGGTCCTGTGGCTTGAACTCAGGGCCCAGGTTCTAGGCACTGTCCTGAGCTTTTTTCTTTTTCTCTTTCTTTCTTTCTCTCTTTCTTTCTTTCTTTCTTTCTTTCTTTCTTTCTTTCTTTCTTTCTTTCTTTCTTTCTCTCTCTTTTTTTTTTGCTCAAGGCTAGTGCTCCACCACTTGAGCCACACCTCCCACTTCTGGTATTTTTTAAATGTAAATTTTATTTATTTATTTTTTTGTTGGCGGTGGGGCTTGAACTCTGGGCCTGGGCGCTGTCCCTCAGCTCTTCAGCTCAAGGCTAGCGCTCTACCACTTGAGCTACAGCGCCACTTCCGGTTTTCTGGTGATTTATTGGAGAGAGGAGTCTCACGGTCTCTCCTGCCCAGGCTGGCTTTGAACCGCGATCCTCAGATCTCAGCCTCCTGAGTAGCTAGGATTACAGGCATGAGCCACCAGCGCCCGGCAAATGTAAATTTTATTGTAAAGGTGATTTAGAAGGGTTTGTAAGAGGCAGATAATGAATATATTTCTTTTTGAACTGAGTTGGCCCCTCTCTCATTTGCTCCCACTTTCCTCACCCCCTCTTCCAGTTTTTTGGTGATTAATTGGAGATAAGAGTCATAGCCTTTCCTGCCAGAACTGACTTTGAATAGCAGATTCTCAGATCCCTGCCTCTTGAGTAGCTAGGAATACAGGTGTGAGTCACCAATGCTTGGCTTGGAAGTTTAAGACAGAGTGGTTAGAAAATTAAAGAATATCTGCTATTTATTATTCCTTTTCAACTACTGAGTATTTCTATTCCTACAGGCTTGACACTTGTGCTTCAAACACTGCATCTTGCCATATCTTAGACACCGGGCTTTCAGTATAAAATGGATTTAATGCTAAATAGGTCAGATGTCTTTTTTTTAACCAGTCCTGGGGCTTGAACTCAATGACTGGTTTTCCCTGAGCTTCTTTCATTCAAAACTAGTGCTCTACCACTGTGGCACAGGAATACTTCCGGCTTTTTCTGAGTAGTTCATTGGAGATTAAGCCTCATGGACTTTCCTGCTTGGCCTTGCATATACTAAACCTGTGCTCTACTACTGAATGGTACCTCAGCCAACCAAATAATTATAAATTTGACGTACTTCCTTTACATTAATTCCCTAGAATTACAGAGTATGTTGTGTAATTTTATAAGGAATACTCTAAGGCCTTGGCCACAAAATACCCAAAGGATTAACTTGCTTATTTCCCATTGAGTTTTTGTTGCTATAAACAAGATATGTTTTCCAGGTAAAAAAGAAATGGCCTTGCATTTAGCCAGTGCAGCCTATAGAGTTGGTTTCAGTTTACTTAATTGAAATATGGTATTTAAGCTGGGCCCTCATCTGTAATTCCAGCTACTCAGGAGGCTGAGATCTGAGGATCACAGTTGGAAGCCAGCCCACATAGGAAAGTCCGTGAGACTCATATCTCCAATAAGCTACCAAAAGCTGTAAGTGTAGTTGTGGCTCACGTGGTAGAGTACTAGCTTTAAGAAAAAAAAGGGCTGGGAAGGTGGCTCAGTGGTAGAGCCCTTGCCTTGCATGCATAAGGCCCGGGGTTTGATTGTTCAGCACCATATAAGGAGAAAAAGCGGGAAGTGGTGCTGTGGCTCAAGTGGTAGAGTGCTAGCCTTGAGCTGAAGAGCTGAGGGACAGTGCCCATGCCCAGAGTTCAGGCCCTGAGTTCAAGCCCCATGACTGACCAAAAAAAGAAAAAAAGTAGGGTAATGAGAGATTGAGAGATAATTACTACTTCTCTTTGAGAATGTATTAATGGGGCTGGGAACGGGGATTAGTGGTAAACTACTTTCCTGGCAGGCATGAACCCCAGGGTTCAAATCTTCAGTACCACATAAACAGAATAAGCTGGAAGTGCTGGGCGCCGGTGGCTCACACCTGTAATTCTCGTTACCAGGAGGCTGAGATCTGAGGATTGCGGTTCAAAGCCAGCCCAGGCAGAAAAGTCGTGAAATTCTTATCTCCTATAAACCACCAGAAAACCGGAAGTGGCGCTGTAGCTCAAGTGGTAGAGCACTAGCCTTGAGCTGAATAGCGCTCCCGCCCAGAATTCAAGCCCTGTGATTGAAGAAAAAAAAAAAAAATCTGAAAGTGAGCAAAAGAAGCTCAAGGACAGAGCCCAGGCCCTGAGTTCAAGCCCTGGGATGGGGGTGGGGGGTGGGGTGGGGAGACTATGAATTGCAGGCCCAGGTGGCTCACACTTGTAATCCTAGCTATTCAGGAGGCTGAGATCTGAGGATTATGTTTCTAAGCCAGCCCAAGGAGGAAAGTCCTTGAGACTCCTACATCCAATCAACCACCAGAAAACTGCAAGTGGAGCTGTGGCTCAAAGTGATAGAGTGCTAGCCTTGAGCAAAAATGAGCTCAGGGTCAGTGTCCAGGCTGAGTTCAAGCCCCAGGATCAACAACAACAACAAAATGTATGAACTACCATGTTCAATAGGACCGTTTTCCCTGACTGACGCTGAAAACATGTTGAAGATCATTATAATTCTCTGATAATCTCGCCAGAACATTTATTCCTCTTAGATTCTAAGGTGTGAGAGAGGTCAAGAATAAATGTGAGTTCCTGCTGAGGAAAGTATTAAGAACTTAGCCACCTAATCAGAACTCAACCATAGTGTAGAAGGTTGAAATTAGAAGGATCCTTTAATTCTGCTTCTATAACTTATTAATTTGCCTATTTTTTCTTTTTAAAGTTTAAAGCAGCTTTTCAGATTAAAACATCTTGCTTGGGATATTAAATTTTTAAATATGATTTAAACTTTAAAAAGCTAGTATTTAGGGCTGGGAAGGTGGCTCAGTGGTAGAGCGCTTGCCTTGCATGCCTGAGCCCTGGGTTCGATTCCCAGCACCACATAAGCAAAAAGAAAAAAGCCGGAAGTGGTGCTGTGGCTCAAGTGGTAGACCGCTAGCCTTGAGCTGAAGAGCTGAGGGACAGCGCCCAGGCCCAGAGTTCAGGCCCCACGAAAGGACCCCCAAAAAAAAAAGCTAGTATTTAGTGTACAGTAGAGTTATGGGGATTTATCACTCAAAAACATGCTAAAAAAAGGAGGGGTGGGCTGGGAAGGTGGATCAGTAGTAGAGTGCTTTCCTTGCATGCATAAGGCCCGGGGTTTGATTGTTCAGCACCATATAAGGAGAAAAAGCTGGAAGTGGTGCTGTGGCTCAAGTGGTAGAGCGCTAGCCTTGAGCTGAAGAGCTGAGGGACAGTGCCCATGCCCAGAGTTCAGGCCCACGACCAACAACAACAAAAAAAACCAAAACCAAAGGCTCAAGACTAATCCTAGCTATTCAGGAGGCTGAGATCTGAGGATCACAGTTCAAAGACACCCTGGGCAGGAAAGTCTGTGAGCCTCTTATCTCCAATAAACCACCAGAATACCAGAAGTGTCACTGTGGCTCAAGTGGTAGAGGGCTTGCCTTGAGCTGAAGAGCTTATGGACAGCGCCCAGGCCCTGAGTTCAAGTTCCATGACGGACCAAACAAAAAAAAAAGTGCTCTAAGTTAGAATTAGTAGCTTAGACCTATACTGTAGCTACCCTGGAGGCCAGGATGGGAGAATCCCTTGAGTCCAAGAGTTTGAGACCAACCTGGACAATAAAGCAACAAACCTTGTTGAAAAGTAAAACATCAAGGAAGCAAGCAAATCCACATTAAAAAAACAAAACAACCAACTGAAGGTGGGAATGGTGCTGGGAATATAGCTTAGTGGTAGAGTGCTTGCCTAGTACTCATGAACTTGGTTTGGATCCCCAGCAAATCATCTCCCAAGTCCTTCAAAAAATTAAATAAGCTGGGCCCTGGGGACTCACCCCTGTATCTTAGCTACTCAGGAGGTTGAGATCTGAGGATCACAGTTCAAAGCCAGCCCGGGCAGGAAAGTCTTTAAGTCTCTTATCTCCAATAAACCACCAGAAAACCAGAAGTGGTGCTGTAGTTCAAGTGGTAGAGTGTTTGCCTTGAGCTGAAGAGTTCAAGAACAGCTCCCAGCCCAGAGTTCAAGCCCCACAACCGACCAAAAAAAAAAATTTAAATCAGGAAAGAGAGAAAAGCAGTCCTTTTCTAGGATGTACAGTTTTATTGGGAGCTAGAACACCGCTCAGACGTAGTTAAGGAAATCACAAATGACCTTCCTAAAGAAATGTTTTAAATGTCACAAGATTAAGTGGGGACTAGCTAGAAAAGAACAGAAAAAATTCTAGAGCAAACAGTGTGAAGATTCAATTGAGGAAATATAGCATGTTTGAGAAATGGGGAAAAAAGTGATAGGAGCCTACAATATGAGAAGAACTGAAAAGTGGGCTAATCAGGATCTTACTTGGAAGATTTTGGAGGCTGTGTAAAGGTGCTTGCACTTTATTAAGCAGCAGTGGGAAATCAGTGAGGAGCTTTTAAGTGAGAAACGTCCTTTCACCTTTAGTAGGACCACTTTGGTTGTCATGTGAAGGATGAATTGAAAACCAGGACCAGAGATTAGGACACTGAGAAACAGCTAGAAAAACCCAGGTAACAGAGAGTGTTGGCTCAGATATGGTGGTGGCAGCACAGATGGAGAAGGGGAGGATGATTAAAAGATACACACACACATGCATATATGTGACAGAATGGTTAGGATTTGGTAGCTGATTGAATTTAGAAAGAGAGGAGTCAAAAATAACCTGTAGTTTCTTGCTTTTGAAAATAGGCAGAGGGTAGCATTACTTACAGAGGCAGGAAATACAGGAGCAGGTTTGACGGTGAGCATTAGTTTACTTTTAAGTGTTTATTAGGCATAAGGCTGTTGGAAGGGTATAGAATTCATTTAAGAAAATTGAGGCCAGTGTGCTAGCTATTCAGGAGGGTAAGATCTGAGAATTGCAGTTCAGAGCCAGCTTGGGCAGAAAAGTTCGTGAGACTTTTTTCCCAATTAACCACCAGAAAACTGGAAGTGGCGCTGTGGCTCAAATGGTAGAGTGCTTCCCTTGAGCTGAAGAGCTCAGGGACAGCGCCCAGGTACAGAGTTCAAGCCCCATGATCAACAAAAAAAGAAAAAGAAAATTGAGGGCTAGGAATGTGTCTTAGTGGTAGAGTGTTTGCCTAGCATGCATGAAGCCCTGGGTTTGATTCCTCAGTACCACATACACAGGAAAAGCCAGAAGTGGTGCTATGGCTCAAGTGGTAGAGTGCTAGCCTTGAGCCAAAGAAGCTCAGGGACAATGCCCAGACCCTGAGTTCAAGACCCATGACTGGCAAAAAATAACAAAAGAAAATTGAGTGTGAGAAAGTGCAGAATTAGAAATAAGATATGAAGAGTTTGGGCTAGGAAATACACAAGCAAAACATGTATCAGATGCATAGCTATATGAGGCCTATGGACTTTCAGATAAGACAGCACATAGGGACTGTGGCTGATGGTGCATGCCTATAATCCCAGCACTTGGGACTGAAAGTATGCACTTGGGATTTAAGGTAACAAATGGAATTGAAGACTTAGGCAGGAAGATCATGAATTTAGGGCCAGCCTAAGCTACATAGTGAGTCCCTGTCTCAAAATGCCAAAGGCTAAGGATGTAGCTGTGGTGGAGCACTTGACTAGCACGTGGGAGGCCCTGGGTTTGGTGAGGGGAGAATGGGAGGACAGAACTTGTCCTTATGGAAGGTGCAGTGTCAGTTATAGAGAGAAAAAGGTTTAAGTTGACAGTAATACAGAGCTCAGTCTGTAAACAATAAGAGGGAGCTGCAGGGCAGATATTGAGGGAATACAGAAAAGAAAATGGTAGTGGCTTCATGGAGGCATGGGCTTTGAATTGAGCCTTAAAGGGAAAGGAAATGAAGTAGAACGATTTTGAGCCTAGGGAGTAACAGACTCAAAGATCTAAAAGTACACAATACAGTGGGTGGTTATATGGCTGGAGCTTAAGGTTCTTGGGGTGGGATAGCTGCAGCTAAAACTGGAAGGGTTCCGGTAGCTCACACATGTCATCCTAGCTACTCAGGAGGCTGAGATCTGAGGATTGCATTTCAAAGCCAGCCAAGGCAAGAAAGTCTGTGAGACTTTTTTTTTTAATTAATTTTTTTCTTTTTTTGGGTTCATGGGGCTTGAACTCTGGGCCTGAGTGCTGTCCCTCAGCTCTTCATCTCAAGGCTAGCACCCTACCACTTGAGCCACAGCACCACTTCCAGTTTTCTGGTGGTTTATTAGACATAAAGAGTTTCACTGCTTTTCCTGTCAGGGCTGGCTTTAAACCCCAATCCTCAGATCTCAGTTCCTGAGTAACTAGGATTACAGGTGTGATCCACTGGCACTGGGCCCATGAGATTCTTTTTTTTTTTTTTTTTGTGGTCGTGGGGCTTGAACTCTGGGCCTGGGCGCTGTCCCTCAGCTCTTCAGCTCAAGGCGAGCGCTCTACCACTTGAGCTACAGCGCCACTTCCGGTTTTCTGGTGGTTTATTGGAGATAGGAGTCTCACTGTCTCTCCTGCCCGGGCTGGCTTTGAACCTCAATCCTCAGATCTCAGCCTCCTGAGTAGCTAGGATTACAGGCGTGAGCCACCAGCGCCCGGCGGCTGCCCATGAGATTCTTATCTCCAGTAAACCACCAGAAAACTGGAAGTGGTGCTGTGGTTCAAGAGGTACAGTGCTTGCCTTGAGCTGAAGATCTCAGGGACAGCTCCCAGGCTCAGAGTTCAAGCCCCACGACTGACAAAAACAAAACTGGAAGGCTCTTTTGAGGCTATGAGGAGGCTACTCAGCCTCCTGAGTAGCTAGGATTACAGGCGTGAGCCACCAGCGCCCGGCTAACAGTGCTCTTTTCTATATTCTCCTAAGTAACTTTCAACTGTGAGGATTAACAGTTGCAGACTATAACTGTTAATAAGATTGGGTAATGTTTTCAGTTACTTGAGAACCAAGGAACACATGGTGTTGAATGCTGGTTTCCTCAGTATCTCTGCAAGGGTGATGTTAGTGAGACCATCTTTCTAGTCAGTAGAGGCAGAGATGTGAAGTCCTAGAGATCTTGCAGATGAATTCAGTATCTATTAAGCAACTGTGTAATGCAGTCATCTTCCCCTTCCCATGCAGCTCAGTTCAATTAGTCAGCAGATACTAGGTATTTATAACTGATAGAAAACTTGCTGAGGTATATAATGGCTAGCTGAATATAAAACAGATATGATTAATACTTCCTTTTTTTTTTTTTTTTGTCAGTCGTGGGGCTTGAACTCTGGGCCTGAGCTCTGTCTCTCAGCTCTTCAGCTCAAGGCTAGCGCTCTACCACTTGAGCTACAGCGCCACTTCTGGTTTTCTAATGATTTATTGGAGATAAGAGTTTCATGGACTTTTCTGCCCGGGCTGGCTTTGAGCCTCGATCCTCAGATCTCAGCCTCCTGAGAGCCACCGGCACCTGGCATGATTAATACTTTCTAAGAGCTTACTGTTTGGGATGGAACTAGTGGTATGGCTCTTTAGAAGAAAAGTTGAAAGTTGTATATATTTCCAACATTGCTGATCTCAAGCTACCAACTTGATGTCATTAAACTGGAGTTGGGAAAAGATGCACACAGTTGGTTCTCAGGAGAGCTGGCTTTAGCATACTACTGGGTGAATCACACATACTAAGAAAACCATGAACACATAGTAAGATCAGAGCCTATATTAGCCCCTTTCACAGTTCCAAGGCCCCTGATTTCCACAGAGTTCTTGGAAATGATGATCATTATCTTGGTATTCCTTTCCTATAGAAGCCACTGTCAAAATCAGATCAACTTACTTGTGCTTCTTGTTTCTGGCAGCAGCCCCAGCTATCTGACTTCATGTAAAAGATGGCTAATGCGGAAGTGAGTGTCCCAGTGGGAGATGTGGTTGTGGTACCCACTGAAGGAACTGAAGGAGAGAACCCTGAAGACACTAAAACCCAAGTGATCTTGCAATTACAACCTGTGCAACAAGGGTAAGTGGCTAGAGATTTGGATATTCTGAAAAATTCTGGGAGGTTTAAAAGGTAGGGAAATGATAGCTATGGTCGCTTAGTACACTGAGATATTCAACATCAGTCAGAGCTGACTGAGTTTTTATCTTGATAATGTGTTTTGTGTTATAGTTGTCATATTTATTTATTCTTTATGTATTTATTTTTTGTCAGTCATGGGGATTGAACTCTGGGCCTGGGCACTGTCTCTCAGCTCAAGGCTAATGCACCACCACTTGAGCCACAGAGCCACTTCTATTTATGTGGTGCTGAGGAATCAAACCAGGGCCTCATGCATGTGAGGCAAGCACTCTACCACTAAGCCAGCCCCATATTTGTCATTTTAATAGCTATTATAATAGTTTTCTATTTCCTTGTGTTTTTCTTCTCTTCTGTGAGCTTTTTGAGGGTAAGTTCCATGGTTCTCTCATCTTACAAATAAACACATTTAGCCTAGGGCCTCTTTGCATATTTCTCAAAGGCAGTATAGTTAGTGTTAGAGGAATTTGACAGCAGGTACAAAAGTTTTAGCTTTGGTTTTGGTGGGTTTTTTTTTTTTTTGGTTGGTCATGAGGCTTGAACTCGGCCTGGGCGCTGTCCCTGAGCTCTTTAGCTCAAGGAGAGCTCTCTACCACTTGAGCCACACCACCACTTCTGATTTTCTGGTGTTAATTGGAGATAAGAGTGAACTTTCCTGCCTGGGCTGGCTTTGAACTGTGATCCTCAGATCTCAGCCTCCTGAGTAGCTAGGATTACAGGCATGAGCCACCAGTGCCCTACTACAAAAGGTTTTTGCTATATGCTCTCTAAATTTTCCTGGGTGGGAAAATTGTCAAGCTTAGTCTATCAAAATGTATATATTACTGAGCATCCATCAGTGGCTTATGCCTGTAATTTTAGCTACTCAGTGATCCGAGGATCACTGCTCAGGGCCAGCCCAACCAGGAAAGTCCATGAAACCTTTCTGTTTTTTTGTTTTTATTCCTTGTAGGTCATGGGGCTTGAACTCAGGGCCTGAGCCCTGTCCCTGCGCTTTTTTGTTCAAGGGTAGCACTCTGTCATTTTGAGCCACAGTGACACTTCCATTGTTTCTGGTGGTTAATTGGAGATAAGGGTCTCACGGACTTTTCTGCTAGGGCTGGCTTCAAACCATGATCCTCAGATCTCAGCCTCCTGAGTGGATAGGATTACAGGCATAAGACACTGGTGTCTGCCTCCAGGAAACTCTCATCTCCAATTAACTGCCAAAAAATCAGAAGTGGAGCTGTGGCTCAAGAGGTAAACCACTAGTCTTAAGCAAAAAAAATTCAGGGATAGTGCACAGGCCCTGAGTTCAAGCCCCAGGACTGGTATAAAAATTAAAAACTCAACCAGTAAAATACTCCATATGCCTATGAATCACCTTTTTGTTTAATTTAATTTAATTTTTTTGGTCAGTCATGGGGCCTGAACTCTGGGCCTGGGCACTGTCCCCAAGCTCAAGGCTAGCACTCTACCACTTGAGCCACAGCGCCACTTCTGGCTTTTTTCTGCTTATGTGGTGCTGAGGAATTGAACCCAGGGCCTCATGTATGCAAGGCAAGCACTCTACCACTGAGCCACCTTCCCAGCCCTGAAAAAGTTCTCAAAAGCAAGAATTTTTGAGTTCTGGGAGGAGGGGGATAGTTAGAGCCAGGTCTCACTACATGGGCCAGATTGGAAATCATGATTCTCCTACTTTAGCATTCCTAGTGCTAGGATTATAGGTATTTACACCATGCCTAGTTGACATGAAAACCTTACCAAAGTAAAATATACATCGTTGTATGTCTCTAAAAACGCAAAATTCACATAGAGCTAAGTTCTCTTTATCTAGGAAAGATATTCTTGTTAATTGAGCACAAGATTGAAATTTTCAATGAGTTGGGCACTGGTGGCTCACCCCTACAATCCTGATTACTCAAAAGGATGAGAGCTGAAGATCCTGATTTAAAGCCAGCTGGAGCAGACAAATTCTGAGAGACTCTTATCTCCAGTTAACCAGCAAAAAGCTAGAAGTCTAACCTGGTGCCCATGGCTCATACCTGTAATCCTAGCCAATCAGGAGACTGAGATCTGAGGATTGCTGTTCTAAGCCGGCCCCAGGCAGAAAAGTCCCCATGAGACTCTTTTTTTTTTTTTTTTTTTTTTTGGGGGGGGGGTCCGGTCATAGGGCCTGAACTCTGGGCCTGAGCGCTGTCGCTCAGCTCTTAAGCTTAAGGATAGCACTCTACCACTTGAGCCACAGCGCCAGTTCCAGTTTTTCTTTTTTTTCTGCTTATGTGGTGCTAAGGAATGGAACCCAAGGCCTCATGCATACAAGACAAGCGCTCTACCACTGAGCCACCTTCCCAGTCCCTCCCTGTGATTCTTATCTCCAATTAACCACCAGAAAACTGGAAGTATCCCTGTGGCTCAAACTGGTACAATGCTAGCCTTGAGCAAAAGAGCTTAGGGACAGTGCCCAGGACCAGGTCAAGCCCCACAACTGTCAAAAAACAACAACACTGAACTCTAGAGGTTCTTGCCTGTTATCCTATGTACTTAGGAGGCTAAGGTTTGAGGATCACGACTTGAAGGCAGCCCAAGCAGGAAAATTCATGACTCTATCTCTAATTAATCACCAAAACGTCAGAAATGAAATTGTGGCAAGTGGTAGAGTATTAGCCATAAGGCATAAAAGCTTAGGGACAGTGCTCAGTGATCATGGGTTGCTTGGACCAATAGGAAATTGGTAAAAAGACTAGAGTTATAAAGTATGTTTATCTTACTCCTTTTCAGGTAGAGTAAAACAAATTTTGTAGCCTTTTGTTGTGAATATTAATTTTTCATGATTTATATAGTTTGTTTATCGATGGACACTTTTACAACAGGATTTACGAACCTGGATCAGAGAACAACACAGCAGTTGTAGCAGTAGAAACTCACACAATCCATAAAATTGAAGAAGGAATTGGTAAGTCTTTGTTATTGTGGTAACTTTAACCTTAGCTTTCTTGCTTGAGATTCCTTTTTTTTTAATCTTTTTTTTTTTTTTTGGGTCTGGTCCTGGGGCCTGAACTCTGGGCCTGGGCGCTGTTCCTCAGCTCTTCAGCTCAAGGCTAGCGCTCTACGACTTGAGCCACAGTGCCACTTCCAGCTTTTTTCTTTTTGTTTATGTGGTGCTGAGGAATTGAACCCAGGGCCTCATTCATGCAAGGCAAGCACTCTACCACTGAGCCACCTTCCCAGCCCCTTTTAAATCTTTTTCTGAATGTTGTTGAGGCTGGCCTTGAGCTTGAGCTCTACTACCATGTCTATCAAATGCTAGAATTTAGACTTCAACTATCCTACCTGGCTGTTGATTGATTGTTATTATTTTTTATTTTATTTTATTTATTTATTTTGGTCGGTTGTGGATCTGAACTCTGGGCCTGGGTGCTGTCCCTCAGTTCTTCAGCTCAAGGCGAACGCTCTACCACTTGAGCCACAGTGCCATTTCTGGCTTTTTCTGCATATGTGATGCTGAGGAATCAAACCCAGGGCCTCATGAATGCAAGGCAAGCACTCTACCACTGAGCCACCTTCCTAGCCCTGATTATTATTATTTTTAATAATGTATTGTTATAGAAGTGATATATAGAGGAATTACAGGTTATGAGTATATTTCCTTTCATACAGTTTCTTCTGTTCCCTTACTCTCTCCCTATCTATTGATTATTTAACACTAACCTACTACAGTAACTAAAACATTTTTTTTGTTGTTGGTGGTGGTGGTGGGGCTTGAGCTCTACCACTTGAGCCTCAGAACCACTTCTGGTTTTCTGAGTGGTTTATTGGAGATAAAAGTGTCCCGGTCTTTCCTGCTGGGGCTGGCTTTAAACCGCAATCTTCAAATCTCAGCCTCCTGAGTAGCTACTGGCGTGAGCCACCGGCACCGGGCCTGAAACAGTTTTTTTGTTTTTTTTTTTTTAATCTGTACTGGGACTTTAACTCAGGGCCTTATGCTCTTGCTTGGCTTTTTTTGTTCAAGGCTGACACCACTCTACCAGTTGAGCCAGACCTCCACTTCTTATTTTTGCTGGTTAATTGGAGATAAGAATTTTAGGGACTTTTCTCTAGGCTGGCTTCCAACTGCAATCCTCAAGTCGCTAGCTCCTGAATATCTAGGAATAAAGTTATAAGCCATCAGAGCCCAGCAAAGTGGTTTTTTTAATATCTAAAAGTCCTAAAAAGATATAGTATTTTCTCAGCCTGCTGGAGGCTCTATATTCTACTTGTAATCCTAGCTACTCAGGATGTTGAGACTTGGAGGATTGCACTTCAAAGCTGAAGCAGAAGAGTTCAAGAGACTCTATCTCCCATAACAGCAAAAAGCCTGGAGGTGTGGCTCAAGTGGTAGAACATTAGTTGTGAGTAAGAAAGTCAAGTAATCTTGAAGAGGCCCTCAATTCAAGTCCTAATACTGAGGAAAAAGATACTCTTTCTCTGGGTGATATCTGCAATTCTAGCTACTTTGGTGGTGGAGATTAGAAGATCATGGGTTGACGATATAAAAGTTTGTGAGCCTTCATTTCAGCCATGGCTGGGAGCCATAGTACACACCATCCCTGAAACTTGGGAAACCATTAATATGAGGGTGACAGCTGGCCTGAGCATAAATGGAGAGTCTTCCTCGAATATAACCAATAGAGCTAGGTGCTGGTGGCTGATGCCTATAATCCTGGCTACTCAGGAATCTAATATGTGAGGATAGAAGTTTGAAGACAACCTGTGCAGAAAAGTCCATGAGCTTTTTATCTCAAGTTAACCAGAAAAAGCAGGAATTTGAGGTATGGTGCAAGTGAAAAAGCTGAGGGAAATAACAAGCCCCTGAGTTGAACTCACACACACACACAATTATGTAAAAAGCTGTTGGAGGCATGGCTTAAGAGCTAGAGTAGCCGGGCGCTGGTAGCTCACGCCTGTAATCCTAGCTACTTAGGAGGCTGAGATCTGAGAATCGCGGTTCAAAGCCAGCCCGGGCAGGAGAGACCGTGAGACTCCTATCTCCAATAAACCACCAGAAAACCGGAAGTGGCGCTGTAGCTCAAGTGGTAGAGCGCTCGCCTTGAGCTGAAGAGCTGAGGGCCAGCGCCCAGGCCCAGAGTTCAAGCCCCACGACCGACAAAAAAAAAAAAAAAAAAAAAAGAGCTAGAGTACCTTCCTAGCCAATTGTGAGTTCCTCAACTCAATTCTCAGTAGTGCCAACAAAACAAAAACAAGGAAAGGAAAGAAGCCGGGTGCTGGTTGCTTACATTTGTAATCCTAGCTCTTAGAAGAAAGAACAGTGGTTCCAGGCCAGCCCAAGGAGAGGTTGAGAAGACCTCTATCTCAGTGGATCAAAGCTGCATACAGTGGTATGCCCCTGCCATGCCAGCAATAAGAGGAAGCCTAAAATAAGCAAATTGCTGTTTAGCCCTATGCCCAAGCAGGAAGGGAAATCCTATCTCAGAAATCAGCAAAGCTGCCGGGTGTCGTCGCTCATACCTATAATCCTAGCTACTCAGGAGGCTGAGATCTGAGAATCACGGTTCAAAGCCAGCCCAGGCAGGAAACTCCATGAGACTCTTACCTCCCATAAACCACTAGAAAACTGGAAGTGGTGCTGTGGCTCAAGCGATAGAGCGCTCGCCTTGAGCTGAACAGCGCAGGGACAGCACTCAAGCCCAGAGTTCAAGCCCCATGACTGACAAAAAATAAAAAATAAAAATAAAAAAAGATAAAGAAATCAGCAAAGCTTGACTGGGAATGTGGATTAGTGGTAGTGTGCTTGCCTAGCATGTATGAAGCCCTGGGTTCAATTCCAGTACCACATAAACAGAAAAAGTTGGAAGTGGCACTGTGGCTCAAATGGTAGAGTACTAGCCTTGAGCAAAAGAAGCTCAGAGACAGGGCTAGGAAGGTGGCTCAGTGGTAGAGTGTTTGCCTCACAGGCATGAGGCCCTGGGTTGGATTCCTCAGCACCATATAAGCAGAAAAGGCCAGAAGTGGTGCTGTGTCTCTAGTGGTAGAGTGCTAGCCTTGAGATGAAGAGCTGAAGGACAGATAGCACCCAGACCCAGAGTTCAGGCCCAACGACCGACAAAAAAAAAGAAAAAAAAAAAGCTCAAGCCGGGCGCTGGTGGCTCACACCGGTAATCCTAGCTACTCAGGAGGCTGAGATCTGAGGATCGTGGTTCAAAGCCAGCCCGGGCAGGAGAGACTATGAGACTCTTATCGCCAATAAACCACCAGAAAACCGTAAGTGGCGCTGTAGCTCAAGTGGTAGAGCGCTCGCCTTGAGCTGAAGAGCTGAGGGACAGCGCTCAGGCCCAGAGTTCAAGCCCCATGACCGACCAAAAAAAAAAAGCTCAGAGACAGTGCCCAGCCTGAGTTCAAGCCCCAAAACTGGCAAAAAAAAAAAAAAAAAAAAAAAAAAAAATCAACAAAGTTGAAGTTGTAGATCAGTGGCAGATGTCTTGCCTACTAAGCCTAAGGCCTGAGTTTAAACCCCAGTATTGCGGAGGGGTGGTGGGAGGAGGGGGTGGGGAAGGGGTGTTGCGAGAAAAGTGGTCGAAAAGAAAAAGTCCTAACATCTCTCGCGTGTAGATACAAAGATTCTAAAGAGATGGTAGTGTGGTAGAGTACCTTCCTACCAAGCAAGTACTAGCCCTGAGTTCAAATCCTATACCACAAAATAAATACACAAGCAACCTAGAAAGAAAAGAAAATCAGCCAGGCGCTGGTGGCTCACGCCTGTAATACTAGCTACTCAGGAGGCTGAGATCTGAGGATCACGGTTCAAAGCCAGCCCGGGCAGGAGAGACCGTGAGACTCCTATCTCCAATAAACCACCAGAAAACTGGAAGTGGTGTAGCTCAAGTGGTAGAACGCTCACCTTGAACTGAAGAGCTGAGGGACAGCGCCCAGGCCCAAAGTTCAAGCCCCACAACCGACCAAAAAAAAAGAAAAGAAAAGAAAAGAAAATCAGCTGGAACATGATATGAATTTTAGTATTATGTGTTTTAGTATATAGTAGGCAGAGATTAAGGGTATCATTGGTTTGAGGCCACCATGGGCTATTTATCAAGACTTTTTTACTAAAAATAAATAAAGTAAATAATAATAAGCATATAAAGGTATGTGGTATATTGTAGTGTTTAACACAGCATTGGAATTTGATAAGAAATAGCTGTTATTCCAAATTTCTTCAAATGGGTTCCTAAGTGGCACTAACTGAATATACACATACACCCCCCAGCTCCCTACCCCCGGCCCCCCCCCAACACATAAAACAGACAGTTCAGTCCTTTGTGGGACTATAAATTTAGAATTTAAGCTTTGAAGAAGAATTGCTCAATAAATAACTGATTTTTTTTTGTGGGGGTGTCCAGTCATGGGACCTGAATTGTGGGCCTGGGCACTGTCCCTCAGCTCTTCAACTCAAGGCTAGCGCTCTACCACTTGAGCCACAGAGCCACTTCCAGCTTTTTTTTCTGCTTATGTGGTGTTGAGGAATCGAACCCAGGGCCTCATGCCTACAAGGCAAGCACTCTACCACTGAGCCACCTTCGCAGCCCAATAACTGATTTTTTTTCTCCTCCACTTTCAGATGCAAGCACTATAGAAGCAAATGAAGATATGGAAATTGCTTACCCCATAACTTGTGGGGAAAGCAAAGCCATCCTCCTTTGGAAGAAGTTTGTATGTCCAGGAATAAATGTGAAGTGTGTTAAGGTAGTTATCTTTTTGGTGAAAACTATTTTTCCCCTCTTTTCTTTCATTTTCTTTCATTCGGGGCTTGAACTCAGGGTCTCATCCTCTTGTTCAGCTTTTTCACTCAGAGCTGGCCTTTTGCCTTTTTTAGCTAGAGAAGAGTCTTGGGATTTTTCTGCCTGGGTGGCTTTGAACCTTGACCCTGAGTAGCTAGGATTACAGGTGGGAGGCACCAGTGCTTGGTCGTCAACCAGTATTCTTTGTGAGGAACTAAGGATCAAACCCAGGGCCTTGTACAGACTAGGCAAGTGCTCTTCCACTGAGTTACACCTTCAGCCCAAGTCAATGTTTTGTATTTTCCAGGTACTATCTTATAATGTGACAGTGAAAAAAAGAAAAAAGGATTTTTAAGTACCACTAAATCAAGTCCTATGAAAGCAGAGAACTATCTGATTTCTACCAACTGTAAACACAGCATGTAGAATGGTGCTTTTGTTGTTGTCAAACTTAGGACCTTGTACATGCTAATCATGTAATTACCATCAAGTTATATCCTCAGACTGAGTGGTGCCTGGTTTATATTAGGTGATCAATAAATATTTGTCCAATGAATGAAGGAATAAATAAGTGAAGTCTCATCCCTCTCACTTGACTGGGTAATTTGAGCAAGTTATTTAATGTTATAGGACCTCATATATTAAAGTAGTAATCACCATCAACATAAATGTACACATACTCTGTAGGACAAGATTAAATATTAATATAAAATATTTTACATTATACAAATTATGTAAAATTATAAAAAGAAATAATCCAAACCAGGCTAATGTTTATAATTCTAACTACTCAGAAGGCTGAGATCTGGAGGACTGTAGTTTGAATCTAGGTTGGGTAGAAAAGTATATGAGACTCTAGCTCCAAAATAAATAGCAAAAGAGGGCTGGGAATGTGGCTTAGTGGTAGAGTGCTTGCCTAGCATGCATGAAGCCCTGGGTTCGATTTCTTAGCACCACATAAGCAGAAAAAGCCAGAAATGATGCTGTGGCTCAAGAGGTAGAGTGCTAGCCTTGAGCAAAAGAAGGCTCAGGGACAGTGCCCAGGTCCTGAGTTCAAGCCCTAGATCTGGCAACCACACACAGAGTTAGGGCTCAGGGGCAGAGCACAAACAAGTAAACAAGCTGAGAAAGCAAGCTGAACAAATGCAAGACCTGGAATCAAACTCTAGTGCCAGCCAAAATAACATCAACTGGGTTGTGGTACACACCTGGATTCTTAGCATTTGGGAAGCTGAGGCAGGAGGATCAACATAGTGATTATAAAGTGAGACCCTGTCACAAAACTGTTAGGTTTTTAAAAAGAGGTAGCCAAGTAAGAACAGCAGCACGCACGTGGTATTCAGGTAAGGGGTAGGTTTATTCAGTACACCTGCTGGGACCAGGCAAGGTTGGCACTCCACGTGGCTGGGAAAGGCCTGGGAAAGAGAGAGAGCAGGGAAAGAGAGAGGAAAGAGAGAGAAAAGAGCTAGAAAAGAGCAGAGAGAGCAGAGAGAGCTAGAAAAGAGCAGCGAGAGAGTAATTTTTTGTGAGAATATAATGTGGATATAATTGTTGCTTCTTTCTCCTTGGTGACCACAGACAGCAGTCACTGTAGTCACATCATCCTACATTTATAAGGATTAGAGTTTGAAGGCTCTGTAATCTGCTTTTGGTTTCTACTATACTTGTTCTTTCCACTATTCCGAATCTTGTCATTTGAGCTGAATAGATTTCTTCAGTTTATTTTATCTGTCTTTGCAATAGTAGAACAAACTACAGGATTCAAAAAGTGAGTTATAGATGGTAATCATTGTACTCATCACCGATTCTCCTTTGTAACACAGATGCTGTGCAGAGAAGGATTGTGTGTGGCATAATAGGACAAGAGGAAGTTAAAAGAAGTAGAAAAAAAAGAGGTTATATACTAGTCAGGACTTGTACCAAGCTCACACCTATAATCAAATATAATAATTATAGGTATAGTTCATACCTGTAATCCTAGCTACTCAAGAGTCTGAGATCTGGATAGAGGTTCAAAGCCAGCCTGTGAGACTTTTCTCAGTAAATATTTGGAAGGTGAGGTGATATAGTGTCAGAGTGAAAAAAGCCAAGTGAGGGGCTGGGAAGGTGGCTCAGTGGTAGAGTGCTTGCCTTGCATGCATGAGGCCCTGGGTTCGATTCCTCAGCACCACATAAGCAGAAAAAGCCAGAAGTGGCGCTGTGGCTCAAGTGGTAGAGTGCTTGCCTTGAGCTGAAGAGCTGAGGGACAGCGCCCAGGCCCAGAGTTCAAGCCCAGGACTGGCAAAAAAAAAAAAGCCAAGTGAGAACACAAGGTCCTGAGCTCAAGCCCTAGTACTGGTACACACATACATATATACTACCACCACCACCACCATACCACATGACTTGAAATATTATGTGTGTTTGTGTGTGTGTGCTGGGCATGGATGGTGCTTTTTTTTTTTTGGCTGGTCCTGGGGCTTGGAACTCAAGGCCTAAGCTTTTTTTTTTTCTCAAGGTGAGGACTCTAGCACTTGAGCCATAGCTTTACTTTGGCTTTTTGGTGATTAATTGGAGATAAGAGTCCACAGACTTTCCTATATAGGCTTGCCTCCTCCAGATATCAGCCTAGGGAGTAGCTAAGGTTATAGGTGTGAGCTACCTGGGCCTGGCCTTGAGCTTCCTTTGCTCAAGGTTAGTGCTCTAACCACTTGAGTCACACAGTTCTACTTCCTGCTTTTTGGTAATTTATTGGAAGTAAGAGTCTCATGATCTTCCTTGCCTAGGCTGGCTTCATTCTGGGATCCTCAGATCTCAGTGTCCTGAGTAGCTAGGATTACAGACCTAAACACAGGGTCTCAATATATAGCTCCCTACATTGGCCTCAAATTCGCTCTACATTTTAGGCCAGAACTCATGATCACCCAGTTATGAGTGCAGGGATTGAGGATGTCTACCAACATGCATGGCTTTTCTGCTGTTGTTGGTTTTTAATATGACAAGTGGAGTTATTATTTCTTTTACTTTTTGGCCTGAATAACTGGATATTGGACTACTTTGGACTTTCCTTTTTACTTTAGTTCAATGATCAGTTGATCAGTCCCAAGCATTTTGTTCATCTGGCGGGGAAGTCTACTTTGAAGGACTGGAAAAGAGCCATTCGTTTGGGTGGAATCATGCTCAGGTAAGCATATGGCAAGCATGTGGCCTTCAACAAACTTTAAGGCACTTAAACAGTGGTATCCAGTCTTTTCTCTTTAACTGGATAGTTGTATTCTGTCTGAGAATTGACTTGAACAAATCATGTTATTTGACTTTCATCAATCTGTTCTTTGTCTTTTTGTTTTTCCTCTTATATGGCCCTGAAGGTGGATCCCAAAAATCATTAATGCCAGACAAGCACTCTACCACTGAGTATATTCACAGTCCCTAACCCCCAGTCCCCTACTAAAATCTCTAGAAGGAAAAGAAGACTGAGTTAAATAAATATTGCCTAGCATCTAGGATAAAGTTTTCTGATGTCAAGATTGGATAGGATTCTGTCTTTGCAGAGAAGCTCAATATAGATGACAGTCTTGCTTGAAATCACCAGAGACAAAGAAGCTTGGTGCTGTGGAGTCATAACAGCTATGGAGAAGTGTTGGCTGATTGATAAATCGTGGATAATGTTGTAAAGTGGAAGTATAATGCTGAGAATTGAGTTATGACCAAGAATGGAACAATCTTTGCCATCACTGTCAGAAAGCGTAATATTCTTTCACCAACATTCCCCCCCCTCTTTTTTTTTTTGGTCATGGGGATTGAACTTGGCCTCAGATCTCATCTTCCCGAGTAGCTAGGATTACAGGCGTGAGCCACTAGAGTCCAGCTCCCCTTATTTGGCAACAATTACTGTATTTTTTCTTCACTGAAGATTAACATTAATTAGTATATCTTGAGTACTTAACCTACTGATAGAAAAAATGTAAGTGTCATGAGGGTAAGTTCCTAGCTAGGCATCGTGGTACCTCCCAGTCCAGCATATAGGAGTTTGAGGCAAGAGAAGCTCTAGTTTAAGGTTAGCATATGCTACATATAGCAAGTTCAAAGATAGCCTAATTTATATAGTGAGACCCTGCTTCAAAAACCGAAATAACAATGAACATCTCAAAACCAGAAAACCCCAAAACAAACAAAAAGAAACAAAAACAAAGAAAAAAGGTTGTGGCTTAGTGCAAGAGTTCTTGCTTGATATTCACAAAGCCCTGAGTTATATCCCTGGCACTTCACCTAAAATAAAAATCAAAAAGTAAAGAATTATGAGTTCCCAATAGAACATATAACAGGATCCTTAGGGCTGAGAAGGTGGCTCAGTTGTAGAGCGCTTGCCTTGCATGCTAGAGGCCCTGGGTTCGATTCCTCAGCACCACATAAGCAAAAAGGAAAAAGCCGGAAGTGGCGCTGTGGCTCAAGTGGTAGAGCGCTAGCCTTGAGCTGAAGAGCTGAGGGACAGTGCCCAGGCCCAGAGTTCAGGACCCACAACCGGACCCAAAAAACAAAAACAAAAACAGGATCCTTAAAAATATTTGAGGCTTTGGATTGGGAAGGTGGCTCAGTGGTAGAGTGCTTGCCTTGCATGCATGAGGTCCTGGATTTGATTCCTCAGCACTGCATAAGCAGAAAAAGCTGGAAGTGGCACTGTGGCTTACGTGGTAGAGAACTAGCCTTGATCTGAAGAGCTCAGGGACAGTGCCCAGGCCCAGAGATCAGGCCCCATGACCAGCAAAAAAAAAAAAAAATTGAGGCTTAAATCGGGTACTGATGGCTTATGCCTATAATTCTTAGTTACTTAGGAGGCTGAGATCTGAGGACTTGGTTCAAAACCAGCTCAGGCAGGAGCTGAGAGACTCTTAACTCCAATTAAATAGCAGAAAGAACAAGAAGTGGCCCTGTGGCTCAAGTGGCAAAGTGCTAGCCTTGAACAAAAGAAGCTCAGGGACAGTGCCTAGGCCCTGAGTTCAAGCCCCAGGACTGGCAAAAACAAAACAAAGAGCATAAGGCCCTAAGTTCAAGCCTCAGTACACTCATACACATAAAAAAATACCACCCCCCTACTCTCACAGATATAAAATTTAGTCCAGAAAATATGTTAAAATGTTTATACAGTATGTGGGGAAGGAGATATTATTTATTTATTTATTTATTTTGTCGGTCATGGGGCTTGAACTCTGGGCCTGGGCGCTGTCCCTCAGCTCTTCAGCTCAAGGCTAGTGCTCTACCACTTGAGCCACAGAGCCATTTCTGGCTTTGTTCTTTTTGTTTATGTGGTGCTGAGGAATCGAACCCAGGGCCTCAGGCATGCAAGGCAAGCACTCTACCACTGAGCCACCTTCCCAGCCCTCCATGAGACTCTTATCTCCAATAAATCACCAAAAAACTGGAAGTGGCACTGTGGCTCAAGTGGGAGAGCACTAGCCTTGAGCTGAAGAGCTCAGGGACAGTGCCCAGGCCCATAGTTCAAGCCCCATGACCAACCAAAAAAAATTTTTTTTCAGAATAAGAGTATTGATAAATGTGGGCAGAATCTACTCACAGTTAGAATATTTACAACCTAATGACTTCTGATATTACTAATCAGTTTTACTAATTTACAGAGTATACTCAGTAATGTCATGCCTGTTTGTCACTGAGACTCAGTTCTCTGAACGTGAAGTACAGGCTGAAGTGCTACCTCTTGTCTTCCTTTTTATAGGAAAATGATGGATTCCGGACAGATTGATTTTTACCAACATGACAAAGTTTGCTCCAATACATGCAGAAGCACCAAATTTGATCTTCTCATCAGCAGTGCAAGAGCTCCAGTACCAGGACAGCAGACAAGTGTGGTGCAGACACCCACTTCGGCCGATGGTAGGGGGTAGGAAACCACCTGAAAACCCACTGTTTCTCATCAGAACTATTCCTCTCATTTCTTTGTTTCTTAGTTTCAACTCTTGTGAGCATCAGTGTGCCTTGTTGTAAGTCATGGTTCTCTTGAGTGGGATTCTATGCTTTAGAAATCATCCTTTTGTTTTGTTTTGGTTGTGGGGCTTGAACTCAAGGCCTGGGCCCTGCCCCTGAGCTCTCTTGCTCAATGCTAACACTCTACCACTTTGAGCCACAGTTCCACTTCCAATTTTGTTGTTTTTTGGGTTATGTTTTTTTTTGTTTTTTTGTTTTTGGTTGGTTTTGGTACTTGAACTCTAGGCCTGGGCATCATCCCTGAGCTCTTCAGCTCAAGGCTAGCACTCTACCACTTGAGCCCCAGCGCCACTTCTGGATTTCTGGTAGTTAACTGGAGATAAGTCTCATGGACTTTCCTGCTGGGTTGGCTTTGAACTGTGATCCTCATATCTCAGCCTCCTGAATAGTTAGGATTACAGGGAGAGCCACCAGCAGTTGGCTTTCACTTCCATTTTTTGTGTGGTTAATTGGAGATAAGAATTTCATGGGAGGGGAGCTGAGAAGGTGGCTTAAAGCACTTGCCTTGCATGCCTGAGGCCCTGGGTTCAATTCCTCACCACCACATAAGCAAAAAGAAAAAAAAAGCCGGAAGTGGTGCTGTGGCTCAAGTGGTAGAGCGCTAGCCTTGATCTGAAGAGCTGAAGGACAGTGCCCAGGCCCAGAGTTCAGGCCCCATGACTGGACCCAAAAAAAAAAAAGAATTTCATGGGAGGCTGGGAAGGTGGCTCAGTGGTAGAGTACTTACCTTGCATGCATGAAGCCCTGGGTTCAATTCCTCAGTACCATGTTAAAAAAAGAAAGAAAGAAAAGAATTTCATGAGGTCTTTTCTGCCCTGGTCTGGCTTCGAGCCTTGATCCTCAGATCTCAGCCTCCTAAGCAGCTAGAATTACAGATGTGAGCCAATGGTATCCAACTATCTTTTTTTTTCCTCCCTCAAAAATGATTTTTTATTGGATAGACTTCCTTATTTCTTTCTTAAAATTCATGCTAAGCATTAGAAAGATGGTTCAGAAGTTTACAAATTTATTCAGTGGTTTCACTTTGTGCCACGTGGAGTATCAAGGTTGAAATTAGGCTGTTTTGAAAAGCTTTTGCTCTACTTATGTGTTCAAGATAGGAAGGTGGATTAGAATGACAAATCGTTTTCAACTGTTGAACTAAAATAAACAGTCTGTCTCTGAGTGTGCTAGACTATGGAAAATGCTGTGAGGATCAGAGAACTCTGCTTGCGTGAGCTCCAGATTACCAAAATGAACAGGATAGGCACATACTTACTTCAATCTTGTTTTAAAAATCCTCAAGGTCCTCCTTACCATTGAGGGAAGATATAACCATCTGAGATTTTTCTTTTTCTTTCTTTCTTTCTTTTTGGTTGGTCGTGGGGCTTGAACTATGGGCCTGGGCGCTGTCCCTGCACTCTACAGCTCAAGGTGAGTGTTCTACCACTTGAGCCACAGCGCCACTTCCAGTTTTCTAGTGGTTTATTGGAGATAAGAGTCTCACGGACTTTCCTGCCTGGGCTGGCTTTGAACCACAATCCTCAGATCTCAGCCTCCTGAGTAGCTAGGATTACAGGCATGAGCCACCGGCACTTGGCTTGAGTGTGATTTTGATTTTTTTTTTTTTTTTTGGTCGGTTATGGGGCTTGAACTCGAGGCCTGGGGGCTGTCTCTCAGCTCTTCAGCTGAAGTCAAGTGCTCTACCATTTGAGCCACAGTGCCATTCCCAGTTTTCTGGTGATTAATTGGAGATAAGAGTTTCACAAACTTTCCTGCCTGAGCTGGCTTTGAACTGCAATCTTCAGATCTCAGCCTCTTGAGTAACTAGGCTTACAGGTATGAACTACCAGTGCCCAGATACTTTGATGCTTCTTAGTCTCTCTTTTTAAATCTTCATGTATAATTGATAGTAAAAAGTTTTTTTTTTCCCCTCTGTGAATCTGTTATTCATGGATTTCTTACCTAATATTTTTGTTTTCCATTTCTCTTGCTTTTTCTTTACAGGCTTATAAATAAAATATCACAACTTCAGCTATTCTAGATGCTTAGCACCTGTAGTAGGGCTCCTCAAACCACCCTACTTTAAAATTATTTCAGGTTCTCATTCTCAGAAAGTCTGGTTTGGGCAGCCTGACATCTGTGCCTAGCGCTGATGGCTTATGCCTGTAATTGTAGCTACTCAGGAGGCTGAGATCTGAGGATCAAGGTTCAAAGCCAGCCTGGGTCAGAAAAGTCCATGAGACTCTTAACTCCAGTTAACTAGCAAAAAAGAAAAAAAACAAAACTGCCAAAAGTGGAGCTGTGACCTAAGTAGTAGAGTACTGGAGTAACAACAAGAACCCACAAGGATGTAGAGCTGTGGCTCAAGTGTTAGAGCACTAGCCTTAAGCACAAAGAGGCTCAGGGACAGAGCCCAGGCCCTGAGTTCAAGCCCCACAACTGACAAAATCAACACAATCCCCTGTAGTCCTAGCTACTCAGGAGGCTAAGAGCTGAGGAGGAAAGTTTGTAAGATTCTTGTTTCCAATTAACCACCAAGGCTAGAAATGTGGCTTAGTGGTAGAGTGCTTACCTAGCATGCTTGAAGCCCTGGGTTCAACTGGTCCGTATCACATAAACAGAAAAGGCCAGAAGTGGCACTGGGGCTCAAGTGGTAGAGTGCTAGCCTTGAGCAAAAAAAGCTCAATGCTTAGGTCCTGAGTTCAAGCCCTAGGACTGGCAAAAATAAGCAAACAAACAAAAACAAAAACCAAGCAACCATCAAAGAGCCAGACTGGAGCTATGTCTTAAGTCGTAGAACAATATAGCCTTGAGCTTAGGGACAGTACCCAGGCTCTGAGTTTAAGAAGAAAACATTTTCTTTTGGGAGGAAGAATTTCTTTTTTTTTTTATTTTTGCCAGTCATGGAGCCTGAACTCTGGGCCTTGGTGCTGTCCCTCAGCTCTTCAACTCAAGGCTAGTGCTCTACCACTGGAGCCACAGCACCACTTCCAGCTTTTTCTGCTTATGTGGTGCTGAGGAATCGAACCCAGGGCCTCATGCATGCAAGGCAAGCACTCTACCACTGAGCCACCTTCCCAGCCCGGGAGGAAGAATTTCTTTAAAAAATCCAATATTTGGGCTGGGAAGGTGGCTCAGTGGTAGAGCGCTTTCCTTGCATGCTTTAGGCCCTGGGTTTGATTCCTAAGCACCACATAAGCAAAAAAGAAAAAAGCCGGAAGTGACGCTGTGGCCCAAGTGGTAGAGCATTAGCCTTGAGCTGAAGAACTGAGGGACAGTGCCCAGGCTCAGAGTTCAGGCCCCACGACCGGACCCAAAAAAAAAAAAATCCAATATTCATCCTGGCTTATTCCAGAGCCTAGGCTTATTTGTGTTTTTGCAGTCCTGGAGATGAACTCAGGCCTTGCACCTGCTAGGCAAGCTCTCTCATTCAAGATATGCCCCAGCTCTTTTGTTTGTTGTTGTTGTTTGAGATAGGATCTCTTTAACTTTGCTGGTGAGGGCCTCAAACTTCTCTACCTCCTAAGTAACTAGAATTATAGGTATGTACCTCTATGGCTTAGCTTCCTTAGTTTTTCTTTTTTTTTAACAATTTATTTTTTAGTAGTAGTAGGGTTTGAACTCAAGGCCTTAAGCTTGCTAGACAAGTAGGTGCTCTGCCACATCAGCAAAATCTCTAGCCCTGTTGTTGGTTTTGTTTTTTTGTTTTTTGTTTTTGTGAGACAGGATGTTATTTAATTCAGACTGACCTTGAGCTCTCAATCGTCCTGTTTCTGCATCCTGAGTACTAGAATTACAGGGGTGTATTACCATACCTAGCTAGGAGATTCATTTTTAAAATATGGATCTAGGCCAGGTGGTGGCTCATACCTGTAATCCTAGCTACTCAGGAGGCTGAAACCTGAGGATCACCATTCAAAGCCAGCCTGGGCAGGAAAGTCTGTGAGACTCTTATCTCCAATAAGAAAAGACTTTTATCTTCAATACTCAGAAAACTGGAAGTGGAACTGTGACTCAGAGTGGTAGAGCACTTGCCTTGTGCTGAAGAACTGAAGGATAGTGCCCAGGCCCAGAGTTCAAGCCCCATGACCAACATAAATAAATAAATAAAAACATGGACTTGGTTGGGAAGGTAGCTCAGTGGTAGATTGCTTGCCTTGCATGCATGAGGCCCTGAGTTCAATTCCTCAGCACCACATAAGCAGAAAAAACCAGAGGTGGCACTGTGGCTCAAGTGGTAGAGTGCTAGCCTTGAGCTGAAGAGCTGTGGGACAGTGCCCAGGCCCAGAGTTCAGGCCCCTGGCCCATGAGACTCTTATCTACAGTTAACCACCAAAAAGGTGGAAGTTGAATTATGGCTCAAGTGATAGAGTGCTAGCATTGAGTACAAAGAGGCTCAGGAACAGCACCTAGACCCTGAGTTCAGCCTAGGACTGGCAAAAAAAAAAAAAAACATGAGAGGCTGGCATGTTAAAAATCACAAGGTGTCTCCAGGCACCTGTAGCTAATGGCTATAATTCTAGCTACTCAGGAGACTGAGATCTGTGAATTACAGTTAGAATTCTGGTGGGGCAGACAAATCCTCAAGATTCTTATCTACAGTATAGTCAGTAAGAAGCCGGAGTGGTAGAGAGAACTAGCTGTCAGTGAAAAAAGCCACCCGGGATGGGAGGTACAGGGCAGAGGTGAGGGAAAGGGTGTGCAAGGGCAAACTTGTGAGCCATTGTGGGTTTTTTGTTTTGTTTTTTGTCAGTCTTGGGGCCTGAATTCTGGGTCTGGGCACTGTCCCTCAGCTCTTCAGCTCAAGACAAGCGCTCCCACCACTGGAGACACAGTGCCGCTGATGGTTTTCTGAGTGGTTTGTTGGAGATAAGAGTCTCAGGGGGCTGGGAAGGTGGCTCAGTGGTTGAGAGCTTGCCTTGCATGCATGAGGCCCTGGGTTCGATTCCTCAGCACCACATATGCAAAAAGAAAAAAGCCGGAAGTGGCGCTGTGGCTCAAGCGGTAGAGCACTAGCCTTGAGCTGAAGAGCTGAGGGACAGCACCCAGGCCCAGAGTTCAGGTCCCATGACCGGACTCAAAAAAATAAAAGAGTCTCAGGGACTTTCCTGCCTGGGCTGGCTTTGAACCATGATCCTCAGATCTTAGACTCCTGAGTAGCTAGGATTATAGGCGTGAGCCACCAGAGTCAGGCTCGCCATTGTGTTTTAAGCCCCAGTATGACACCAGGAAAACAAACAAACAGGAGAATGAAAAAAAAAAAAGTGGGAGGATCACCCTTTGAGGCTAGCCTGGGCAAAAGGAAAGTTGGTGAGATCCTCCTATCTCAATGAATAAATACTGGGTATGGTAGTTTGAGCCTGTCATCCCAGCTATATAGGAAGTATAACTAGGAGGATTATGGTCCAGACCTGGGCAAAATTTTGCCTGGGCAAAAATTAGATCCTATTCAAAAAAATAAAGCAAGGCTGAGGTTATGGCTAGGTTGGTAGCAAGTGAAAGGCTCTGAGTTCAAACCCAAGTATTATCAACAATAAAAAGGTCTCTATGACTGTGAATATGAGATGGAGGATTTCTATGACTTTTTAAAGAAATTCCATCCTGGGGCTGGGAAGGTGGCTCAGTGGTAGAGCGCTTGCCTTGCATGCATGAGGCCCTGGGTTCGATTCCTCAGCACCACATAAGCAAAAAGAAAAAAAAAGCCGGAAGTGGCGCTGTGGCTCAATTGGTAGAGTGATAGCCTTGAGCTGAAGAGCTGAGGGACAGCGCCCAGGCCCAGAGTTCAGGCCCCACAACCAGATGCCCCCCCCCCAAAAAAAAAAAAAGAAGTAGAAGAAGAAATTCCATCCTGGGTTAGAACAGTGGGCCTATACACTATCTCTTAAGCTTTTTAGCTCAAGGCTAGCACTCTACTACTGGAGCCACAGCTCTAGTTCTGGCTTTTATGGTGATTAATTGTAGATAAGAATCTCATAGGGCTGGGAAGGTGGCTCAGTGGTAGAGCGCTCGCCTTGCATGCTTTTGGCCCTAGGTTCGATTCCTCAGCACCACATAAGCAGAAAAAAAAAAAAAAGCCAGAAGTGACACTATGGCTCAAGTAGTAGAGTGCTAGCCTTGAGCTGAAGAGCTGAGGGACAGCACCCAGGCCCAGAGTTCAGGCCCCACGACCAGACCCAAAAAAAAAGGAGTCTCATAGACTTTCCTGCCCAGGCTGGCTTTGAATTGCCATCCTCAAGATCTCAGCCTCCTGAGTAGCTAGGATTACAGTGTAAGCCACCAGTGTGTGGCTACATCTATGGCTTTTTATTCATTGGGCATCTAATGGACCCCTTTTAGGTAGCATCACACAGATTGCCATCTCAGAAGAGAGCATGGAAGAGGCAGGACTGGAATGGAACTCAGCTCTTACTGCTGCTGTCACCATGGCCACAGAAGAGGGGATGAAAAAAGATTCAGAGGAAATTTCAGGTACTTTTATGTGACTCATTTCTCTTGCAGGGTTTTATGACCCTTGTCATTGTCATAATTATGGATAAATAAGACCTCTTAATTAATTTTGTTGTTTTTTCTCCTATATGTAAATACTAGCTCTAGGTACAAATATCTTATTTTAATCCATGCACTTGTCATACTTAACACATGAAGGAATTGGGATTGTGGAAAAAGTTCAACAGTTTGTCTAAGACCAGCCATACAACCAATAAATATCAGAGCTGAATTCAGCTGTTTGACTCTTGGAGTTCATGCTTTTCTTCCTACCAGACTGCCCTAATTCTGGCACATGACTTAGATAAATCAAGCCTCAAGATATTAGAGGGCAGAATTAGGTAGCAGCTGGTATAGCTTGTTGATACACTTAGGGGGGATAATGGGTTAGGTTTCATATTATTTTCCATTAATTCATTCAAGAAATATTATTTCCTTTTCTTTCTTTTTTTTGCCAGTTTGGGCCTTGAACTCAAGTACTGGGTACTTTCCCTGACCCTTCTTTCTTCTTCTTCTTCTTCTTCTTCTTCTTCTTCTTCTTCTTCTTCCTCTTCCTCTTCCTCTTCCTCTTCCTCTTCCTCCTCCTCCTCTTCCTCCTCCTCCTCTTCCTCCTCCTCCTCCTCCTCCTCCTCCTCTTCCTCCTCTTCCTCCTCTTCCTCCTCTTCCTCCCCCTCCTCCTCCCCCTCCTCCTCCCCCTCTTCCCCCTCCTCCTCCTCCCCCTCCTCCCCCTCCTCCCCCTCCTCCTCCTGTCTGGGCACTGTTCCTGAGCTTCTTTGTGCTCAAGGCTAGCACTCTACCACTTGAGCCACAGTGCCACTTTCAGTTTTTGAGTGGTTTATAAGAGATAAGAGTCTCATGGGGACTTTTCTGCCCAGGCTGGCTTTGAACTGCAATCCTCAGAGCTCAGCCTTTTGAGTAGCTAGGATTACAGGTGTGAGCCATCAGTACCCAGCTATTTCCTATTTTTAATTGGCACTGTTTCTGGAATAGTGTACATAAATGAAAGGACATTAGCCACTGCCATCAGGGAGCTTCTAGTCCTACCTACCCAACAGTCTTTATTTTCTTAAGTGTAGGACTAGGAGTAATATATCTTCTAATCAATATTTATTTTACTGTTTTATTACCTCAATTTTATAATAACTGTAGGACTAGGAGTAGTATATCTTCTAATTAATATTTATTTTAATGTCTTTATTACCTCAATTTTATAATATCGGGTGCTGTTTAAAGGTTAACTTATTCAAATATTACTTAACTTAAATATTTAATGTTTTTGTAATATATATATATATTTTTTTTGGGGGGGGGGGGTCCGGTCAGGGGGCCTGAACTCTGGGCCTGGGCGCTGTCTCTCAGCTCTTCAGCTCAAGGCTAGTGCTCTACCACTTGAGCCACAGCACCACTTCTGGCTTTTTTTCTTTTTGCATATGTGGTACTGAGGAATCGAACCCAGGGCCTCATGCATGCAAGGCAAGCACTCTACCACTGAGCCACTTTCCCAGCCTGCCTGTTTTTGTAATATTTAACTTAATCTTTTTTTGTGCTTATAGTGGAGCTTGAACTCAGGGCCTCTTGGTCTTGTTTAGCTATTTCCACTCAATGTTGGCACTCTGCTACATGAGCCACAACTCTACCTCTAGATGTTTGCTGGTTAATTGAAAATAAGAATTTCATGGCTTTCCTGCCCCAACTGGCTTTGCACTACAGATCTGTCTTCTGAATAACTAGGATTATAGGCAAATGCCACTGGCACCTGGCTCATGCTAAGGTTTTTCATTCATGGCTGCCACTCTGCCAGTTGAACCATATCTCCAATTTTGACTTTTTGATGGTTAATTGGAGATAAGAGAATTAGAGGATTTATCTACCTGAGCAGTCAAGCTACAGTTGTCATATCTCAGCTTCCTGATTAGCTAGGATTATAGGCATGAGGCACCAGCATCCTTTTTATTTTTTATTTTTATTTATTTATTTTAATTAATTAATTAATTAATTAAGTCCATCATGAGGCTTGAACTCTGGGCCTAGGCGCTGTCTCTGAGCTCTTCAGGTCAAGGCTAGCACTCTACCACTTGCCACAATGCCACTTCGTCTTTTTCTGTTTATGTGGTGCTGAGGAATCAAACCCAGAGTCTCAGGAATGCAAGGAAGCCACCTTTCAAGCCCTTATTTATTTTTTATTTTTTGTTGGTTGTGTGGCTTGAATTCAGGGCCTGGGTCCTGTCCCTGAGCTCTTTTTTTTGTCTGTTAAGAGGCTTGAACTCTGGTCCTGGGCACTGTCCCTCAGCTCTTCAGCTCAAGGCTAGTGCTCTACCGCTTGAGCCACAATGCCACTTCCAGCTGTGAGCTCTTTTGTTCAGGGCTAACACTCTACCACTTTGAGTCACAGCTCTACTTTTGAGTGGTTAATTGGAGAAGTGTCTCATGGGGACGTTCTGCCTGGACTGGCTTGAACCACCATCCTAAGATCTCAGCCTCCTGAGTAACTAGGATTACAGGTATAAGCCACCTGTACTGGCACTATTTTGTTTTTGTGTTGTTAGGGATCAAACACTTGAATTTGCTTGGCTAGTGCTATACTTATAGCCCCATTCCTTAATTAATTAACTATCTTATTAATTTTTGCTCAGGTCTTGGGCACTGTCCCTGAGCTTATTTTCTGCTCAAGGCTAGCACTGTACCACTTGAAGCCAAAGTGCTATTTCCAGCTTTTTCTGTTTATGTGGTACTGAGGAATTGAACCTAGACTTCATACATGTTAGGAAAGCACTCTACCACTAAGTCACATTCCAGCCCTCCAAACCTTAATTTAATATCTTTATTGAAGGAAGATGTCTGCTTTTTAACCAAAGCCATAAAAAAGGAGAGCATGACAAATGAAGCAATTATCCCAAGGCCCTAAGTGGTTTGAAGGGCAAATAATTAGATAACAACTCTAGGAGGCAGCTCCTATTCCAGAAGTTCTCTTTTTTCCCAGAAATGCCCTAATAAGAAATTGAGCTGCACAAAATTTTAATTTAGCATTATAGAGATGTGCCCAAATATCTAGATAGCATCCTTTGTTTATCCTATTTTATCCCTCTCATTCCAGAGGACACTTTGATGTTCTGGAAAGGAATAGCTGATGTAGGGCTGATGGAAGAAGTTGTCTGCAATATACAGAAGGAAATAGAGGAACTTCTAAGAGGAGTTCAGCAGAGGCTCATCCAGACTCCCTTCCAGGTCACAGGTAAGTTCACTGATTCTAATAATAGCTATCATCTATTGAATACTTACAACTGTAGTCAGGTCCTTATAACACCTGTGAAGTACTGATATTATCTCTATTTAACAGTCAAGAAAAGTAAGACTCATTAAAGCTAACTCAGTTACTCACAGTTCATAATTTTTTAAAAATTAGTACATATAGTAACGCAGTTGAACATGATAATTCCATACATGTATGTAAAGTTTTTTGATCATTTTTACCCCCTCTATCCTTTTTCTTACCCCTTCATCTTTCCCTCTTCTCTCTTACTAGTAGTCCTAATTACATTTTCATTACCTTAGTTTTTATGTTTTGCTTTCTACTAGTTCCCCTAAATGAGAGAACACATGTAATATTTGTCTTTGTGGGACTGGCTTATTTTACTTAACATGATAATCTGAGATTTTGTTGTTGTTGTTGTTATTTTGTGTGTGTGTGTGTGGTGTCTGGGATTGAACCCAGGGCTTTGCACATGCTGTAGATATAGCTCAGTTGTGATTTATTGAAAAGGAAACTACTGTGGGGTGCCAGTGGCTCTTGCCTGTGATCCTAGCTACTCTGGAGGCTGAGATCTGAGGATCACGGTTCTAAGCCAGCCTGGACAGGAAAGTCTCTGAGACTCTTATCTCTGATAAGCCATTAGAAAAACTGGAAGTGGGGCTGGGAAGGTGCTCAGTGGTAGAGCGTTTGCCTTTAGCTGAAGAGCACAGGGACAGGCTCAAGCCCCATAACCAACAACAACAACAAAAAAAACTACCAAGGGAGGAACAACTTTGGAGAGAAAAGTCAAAACTATTTTTTTTTTTTTTTTTGACAGTCCTGGGGATTGAACTCAAGGTCTGGGCATTGTCCCTGAGCTTTTTCGCTCAAGGCTAGAGCTCTACCATTTGAGCCATAGCTTTTTTGGTGGTTAATTGGAGATAAGAGTCTCACAAATTTTATTGCCTGAGCTGGCTTCAAACAGGCATCCTTAGTCAGGCACCAGTGGCTTACACTTGTAATACTAGCTACTCAGGAGGCTGAGATCTAAGGACCAGAATTCGAAGCCAGCCCGGACAGGAAAGTCTGTGAGACTCTTATCTTCAATTAATCACAGGAAAAGCTAGAAGTGATGCTGTGGCTCAAGTGATAGAGTGCTATCCCTGAGTAAAAGGAGCTTAGGGACAGCACCCAGGCCCAGAGTTCAAGGCCCAGGACTGGCCAAAAGAAAGAAAGAAAACATACACACAAAAACAGCCATCCACAGTTATTACATTCTGAATAGTTATGATTGCAGGTATGAGCCACTGGGGTCTGGCCTTTTTTTCCCCCCCACTGTCTTTGGCAGTACTTGGTGACTGAACTCAAGGCCTGCTATATGTTAGGCAGGCACTTTATCACTTGAGCCATGTTTCTAACTCTAGCTATGGCTTTGGGGTATGTGTGTGCATGTGCTATTACTGAGCTCTTTTTTTGCTCAAGGCTAGTGCTCTACCACTTCAGCCATAGTTCCATTCCACCTTTTTGTGTGTGGGTAACTGGAGATAAGAGTCCCACATACTGGCTGGGAAGGTGGCTCAGTGGTAGAACGCTTGCCTTGCATGCCTGAGGCCCTGGGTTTGATTCCTCAGCACCACATAAGCAAAAAGAAAAAAGCCAGAAGTGGCATTGTGGCTCAAGTGGTAGAGCACTAGCCTTAAGCTGAAGAGCTGAGGGACAGCGCCCAGGCCCAAAGAGTCCCACATACTTTCTGTGCTTGGGCTGGCTTTGAACCATGATCCTCAGATCTCAGTCTCCTGAGTAGCTAGAATTATAAGCATATTTTGTGTGTGTGTGTGTGTGTGTGTGTGTGTGTGTGTATTGGGGCTTGAACACAAGGCCTGGGCACTGTCCTGAGTTGTTTTTTTTTTTCCTCAAAACTAGTACTCTGCCACTTGAGCTATGGCTCCACTTCTGCCTTTTTGGTGGTTAATTGGAGATAATAGTCTTATGGACTTTTCTGCCTAGGCCAGGTTCAAACTGCAGATCCTCAGATCTCAGCCTTCTGAGTAGTTAGGATTATAGGCATGAATTATTAGTACCTGAAGATTATAGGATCTTTCTTTTAATGGATATATCACTTAATTTGACAGAAATATGAAGCCCAACCCAGTGGGCAGAAAAGTTTGAGAGATCCTTTTTCTGAGATGGGCCCATTCTGAGAATGGGCTATAGCAGTGCGAGTCTGTTATTATATTGTGGATCCGGTCATACCTAGGGAGGAAAGTGAAAAAGGGCTGGAGGAGTGCTCAGCTGTGAGTGAAAAAGCTGAGCTAAGAGCTTGAGGCCCTGAGTTCAAGCCCAATATCAACACACAAGAAAAAATAGAACGAAATAGTGGCCCTAACCTTAGTTGCAGAAACCCATAATGTCGAAGCAAAGTGCATAAGCCCAGGAGTGCAGAAGGAGTCTGGGTATAGTAGTTAGACTTCATCAACAACAAAAAAGCCTAGCAGCCAAGTGCCTGTGGCTCACGCCTACAATCCTAGCTACTCAGGATACTGAGATCTGATGATCACGGTTCAAAGCCAGCCTGGGCAGGAAAGTCCGTGAGACTCTTATCGCCAATAAACCACTAGAAAACTGGAAGTGGCTCTGTGGCTCAAGTGGTAGAGTGCTCGCCTTCAGCTGAAGAGCTGAGGGACCGCACCCAAGTCCAGAGTTCAAGCCCCACAACACACACACACACACACACACACACACACACACACACACACACACACACACACACACACACACACACACACACACACACACACACACACACACACGGCATACTGGGCTTAACACACACACACACACACACCGGCATACTGGGCTGAGGGACCGCACCCAAGTCCAGAGTTCAAGCCCCACAACACACACACACACACACACACACACACACACACACACACACACACACACACACACACACACACACACACCGGCATACTGGGCTTAACACACACACACACACACACACACACACACACACACACACCGGCAAACTGGGCTTATACCTGTAATTCTAGCTACTCAAGAGACTAAAATCTGAGAACTGTGGTTCAAAGTCAGCCTAAGCAGGAAAGTCTGTGAGACACACTTATCTTCAATAAAGTACCATAAAGCCAGAAGTAAAGTTGTTCTCAAGTGGTAAAGCACCACCCTTGAGCAAAAAAAGCTCAGGACAGCACCTTGCCCCTGAGTTCAAGCCCCATGACTGGCCTGAAGAGAAAAATAAGCCAGGCATAATGGTACATGACTGTAAGTCCAGCGTTCAGGAGGCAGAGGCCGACTCTTAGCCCACCCTGAGCCACATATGGAGACTGTATCTCACAAACAAACAGAAGGGGCTGGGAAGGTGGCTCAGTGATAGAGTGCTTGCCTTGCATGCATGAGGCCCTGGGTTCAATTCCTCAGCACCACATAAGCAGAAAAAGCCAGAAGTGGCGCTGTGGCTCAAGTGGTAGAGAGCTAGCCTAGAGCTAAAGAGCTGAGGGACAGTGCCCAGGCCCAGAGTTCAGTCTCCACAACTGAAAAACAAAAGTGAAAAACAAAAACAACAACAACAACAAAAATTAGGGGCCTAGGAAGGTGGCTCAGTGGTAGAGCACTTGCCTTGCATGCTCGAGGCCCTGGGTTCGATTCCTCAGCACCACATAAGAAAAAAGCCAGAAGTGGCGCTGGGGCTCAAGTGGTAGAGTGCTAGCCTTGAGCTGAAGAGCTGAGGGACAGCGCCCAGGCCCAAAGTTCAGGCCCCACGACCGGACCCAAAAAAAAAAAAGAAAAAAAAAATTGGAAAAACCCCATAGAACTACATGAGATAACTTAGAGGGGAATATAGGGGAGGAGATAAAATTTAGATAAGTGTCTATAAATACTGACAACTCTTTCAAGAATTTTTTTTTTTTGGGTCCGGTCGTGGGGCCTGAACTCTGGGACTGGATGCTGTCCCTCAGCTCTTCAGCTCAAGGCTAGCGCTCTACCGCTTGAGCCACAGCGCCACTTCTGGCTTTTTTCTTTTTGCTTATATGGTGCTGAGGAATCGAACCTAGGGCCTCAGGTTTGCAAGGCAAGCGCTCTACCACTGAGCCACCTTCCCAGCCCCTCTTTCAAGAAATTTTTATAGAGGGGAATAAAGATAATGGTATTAGGGCTGGGAAGGTGGCTCAGTGGTAGAGTACTTGCCTTGCTTGCATGAGGCCCTAGGTTCGATTCCTCAGCACCATATAAGCAGAAAAAAGCCAGAAGTGGCGCTGGGGCTCAAGTGGTAGAGTGCTAGCCTTGAGCTGAAGAGCTGAGGGACAGCACCCAGGCCCAGAGTTCAGGCCCCACGACTGACAAAAAAAAAAAAAGAATGCTATTAGTAATACTGCATGTTATTCCCCATGAGATTTTTTGTTGTTGTTGTTGCTTTTTTTGTTTGGGTGTTTGTTTGTTTTTTTGTCAGTTGTGGGGCTTGAACTCTGGGCCTGGGCGGTGTCCTTCAGCTCTTCAGCTCAAGGCGAGCACTCTACCACTTGAGCTACAGCACCACTTCTGGTTTTCTGGTGGTTTATTAGAGATAGGAGTCTCACAGTCTTTCCTGCCAGGGCTGGCTTTGAACCGTGATCCTCAGATCTCAGCCTCCTGAGTAGCTAGGATTATAGGCATGAGCCACCAGCGCCCGGCTGTTTGGGGTGTTTTTTAAAAATAGTTTACTTTATTATTATAGAGGTGATGTATAGAAGGATTACAATTACATGAGTCAGGTAATGCGTACATTTCCTTTTGTACAGTGTCTTCTGTTCCCTCATGCTCTCTCAATCCCTCCCTCCTGACTCCACCCATGAGTTGTATAGTTCACTTTCATCAGTGTCTAGTGAGGTCCACTGCTGTACTTTTTTACCCTTTTCCCTCAAGTTCTGTACCCTCCCCTCCCCTTCTTGAAGGTATGTAGACTTGAATATATCACACATAAAGAAGACAGAATCATCAACTAAAAATTAAAAAAATAAAGATATCTCTTGTTTCCATATTTTGGAGTTTATTATTTTATATTATATTATATTATATATTATATTATAATATACTATATTATAATAGATAGTATATTATTTTATATAAATATGAAGAGGCATCTAACTCATGATATTTCTAATCTTAATCTTCTATTTTACAGTGAATATTATTGGTTCCATTTGTTCCAGATAAGAAAACTCAAGGGGCTGGGAAGGTGGCTCAGTGGTAGAGCGCTTGCCTTGCATGCTTGAGGCCCTGGGTTCAATTCCTCAGCACCACACAAACAAATAAAAGTAATACTTTGGGGCTGGGAAGGTGGCTCAGTGGTAGAGCGCTTGCCTTACATGCATGAGGCCCTAGGTTCGATTCCTCAGCACCACATAAGCAATTCTAAGCCGGAAGTGGCACTGTGGCTCAAGTGGTAGAGCGCTAGCCTTGAGCTGAAGAGCTGAGGGACAGCGCCCAGGCCTAGAGTTCGGGCCCACGACCAGACCCAAAAAAAAAACAAAAAAAAAACCTCAAGAGTGAAATGATTTATCCAGGATCACAAATAACATAGCAAAATTAGTATGAAGCCTTATGTTCGATCTCTAGCAAAAATAAGTAGCAAAATTGAGATTGAAACTCGGTTCCCAGTGGGTACTGGTGTCTCATACCTATAATTCTAGCTACTCAGGAGGCCGAGATGTAAGGATAGCAGTTAAAAGCTAGCCCAAGCAGGGCTAGCTGTTTGTGAGATTCTTATCTCCAATTAAACTGTGGGAAGTAGAGCTGTGGCTCAAGTGTTAGAGCACTAGCCTTGAGCAAAATAGTTCAGGGACAGTGCCCAGATTCTAAGTTCAAGGCCCAGGACAGGCACCAAAAAAAGAGGGGGAGGGTTGTTTCAAATTTATAAACAGTTGGCAGAACATTTCTATTTTAACTCTACTGGCATGTATTTTGTTTTAAATAGATGCTGCTGTTCTCAACAATGTGGCACATACATTTGGCCTAATGGACACAGTCAAAAAGGTTCTGGACAACAGAAGGAACCAAATAGAACAGGGAGAAGAACAGTTTCTCTATACTCTGACAGGTGTGTATAACTTGTCTGTTTATAGGAGCTATTATGCCAATATTCTTGAGCTTTGCTGTTTCTTTGTCAACTTCTGTTGGTTTTTTTATTCTTTTTAATTCACGTGATGTTAAATTATACTGCTTTGTTTGTTTGTTTGTTTGTTTTGTTTTTCTGGTACTGGAGCCTGAAATCAGGGCCTGGGTATTGCAAGGTATTGTCTCTTAGCTAGCTTTTTCACACAAAGCTAGAGATGAGCCACAGTTTCATTCCTGGCTTTTTGGTGATTAATTGGAGATAAGAGTCTCTTATAAGCCAGGCGCCGGTGGCTCATACCTGTAATCCTAACTACTCAGGAGGCTGAGATCTGAGGATCATGGTAGAAAGCCAGCCTGGGCAGGAAAGTTCGTGAGACTTTTATCTCCAATAACAACCACTAGAAAACCAGAAGCAGCACTGTGGCTCAAGTGGTAGAGCGCTCACCTTGAGCTGAAGAGCACAGGGAAAATGCCCAAGCCCAGAGTTCAATCCCCACAACTGACCAAAAAAAAAAAAGTCTCATATACTCCTTCCTTTGCTGGCTTGGAACCAAAATCTCTAGATCTCAGCCCCCTAAGTAGTTTGGATGTACTTCCAAAGCTACTTTTTTTGTTTTTGTTTTTGTTTTTGTTTTTTTGTCAGTTGTGGGGCTTGAACTCTGGGCCTGGGTGCTCTCCCTCAACTGTTCAGATCAAGGTGAGCACTCTACCACATGAGCCACAGCGCTATTTTCTGTTTTCTAGTGGTTTATTGAAGATAAGAAGAGTCTCATGGAGGGCTAAGAAGGTGGCTCAGTGGTAGAGTGCTTGCCTTGCATGCATGAGGCCCTGGGTTTGATTCCTCAGCACCACATAAGCAGAAAAAGCCAGAAGTGGTGCTGTGGCTCCAGTGGTAGAGTGCTAGCTTTGAGCTGAAGAGCTGAGGGACAGTACCCAGTCCCAGAATTCAGGCGCCATGACTGACCAATAAAAAAAAAAAAAGAGTCCCATGGACTTTCCTTCCCAGGCTGGCTTTGAACTCTGATCCTCAGATCTCAGCCTCTTGAGTAGCTAGGATTATAGGCTTGAGCCACTGGTGGCCTCCCAGCTTTTTTTCTGGTTAATTAAACTTTCCTGCCTGAACTTGCTTTGAATAGGATCCTTATATTTCAGCCTTCTGAGTAGCTAGGATTACACATGTATGTCACTGGTACTCTGCTCAGATTTTGTTTTGATGAGATAGAGTGAAATGGTAATACTGGAGGGATACAGGGAAAAAAGAAGCTAACTTCATTATCTTTCCTTCTCTATCTTTTTTAGGGTTAAGATGTGTGCTAGCCAGGTGCCTATGGCTCACTCCTGTAATATTAGCTACTACTAAGGAGGCTGGGAACTGAGGATCACGGTTCAAAGCCAGCCTGGGCAGGAAAGTCTGTGAGACTCGTTTTTTTTTTTTTGGTTGGTCGTGGGGCTTGAACTCTGGGCTTGGGTGCTGTCCCTGCGCTCTTCAGCTCAAGGTGAGCACTCTACTGCTTGAGCCACAGCACCACTTTCGGTTTTCTAGTGGTTTATTGGAGATAAGAGTCTCACAGATGTTCCTGCCCAGGCTGGCTCTGAACCACGGTCCTCAGATCTCAGCCTCCTGAGTAGCTAGGATTAAAGGCCTGAGCCACCCGTGCCTGGTTTCCTGAGACTCTCATCTACAATAACCACCAGAAAACTGGAAATGGCACTGTGGCTAAGTGATAGAGTGCTGGCCTTGAGTTGAAGAGCTGAGGGACAGTGCCCAGGCCCAGAGTTCAAGCCCCATGACCAGCCAAAAACAAAAAAGATGTGTGCTACATTATCCATTAATTCAGTTAACAACAGTGTTGGCAGAATATGCAAATTAGTTTTTAGGTTTTTTTTAAAAAAAATTTTTAATCAGGTTTACTAATAGACCTGTGGTAAAGAGATTATTTTGTTATTTCTATTGTTAATTTTATTAGTAGTATATATTGGTCATACAGAGGGATTTCATTATGGTATTTCTGTGCATGTTTACAATGTATTCCAATTAACTTCACCACTCCATATTGCTCTTTTTTTTTTTTTTTAAATTTTATTTTATTTGAGAACATACTGTACAGAGGGGTTACAATTACATGGGCAGGATAATGCATACATTTCTTACCAAGCATTGCAGCTTCCTCCTTTGTTTACCCTTCACATCCCTTCCCAGCCTCCCCCCTCCCCCCCATATTGCTCTCTTTTAATTCCCACTTCTCAAAACAATTTTAACAGATATCATTGTTCTATTTTAATGTATGCAAACAATCTCTTTCAACTATATTCATTCTCCTGTTAGCTTAACTCCCTCCTGATAGATCACACATCTAAAGGACCATCTTTCTCATTCCTAGATGATCTTCCTGGGGCTTGAACTCAGGGCCTCAGTGCTGTCCCTAAGCGTTTTTGCTCCAGGCTAATACTCTACCCCTTGAGACACAGCTCTACTTCCAGCTTTTTTTGGTGGTTAATTAGAATTGAGAGTCTCATGGACTTTTCTGCCCAGGCTGGCTTCAAACTATAATACTAAGATTTTAGTCTCCTGAGGAGCTAGGATTATAAGTATGAGCCACCAAGCCCAGCTTATATACTTTTTTATTACCATATGTTATACAGGAGGAATTTTTTTTTTGGGGGGGGAGGTCCAGTCGTGGGCGTGAACTCTGGGCCTGGGTGCTGTCCTTCAGCTCTTCAGCTCAAGGCTAGGGCTCTACCACTTGAGCCACAGTGCCACTTCGGCTTTTTTTTTTTCTGTTTATGTGGTGCTGAGGAATCGAACCCAGGGCCTCCGGCATGCAAGGCAAGTGCTCTACCACTGAGCCAACTTCCCAGCCCAGGAGGAATGTTTTGTTATTACATTTTCACACATGTTTACAGTATATTCTAGTTTGTTTATTTATACCAGTACTGGGTACTGGGGCTTGAATTCAGGGACTTTTGCTCTTGCTCAACTTTTTTGCTCAAAGCTAATACTATAGCAGATGAAACAAGCCTTTTGCTTGTTAATTGAAGGTATAAGTCTCTTATATTTGCCTGTGCAGACAGGCTTTGAATTAAGATTTTCAGATCTCAGCCTCCTTAATTGCTTGGATTATAGGCATGAGCCACTGGCCCCCATCATATCTAACTCCCCTCCCTTTTGATTTGTCTGAAGTTACAACACACTTGACAGAAAATCCTGAAAGACAACTCTATTATCTTACTCCTAATCCAGTCTTCTCACCTTCAAAGTTTTTTGGGGGATGGGGGTAGGGGTGGGGTTTGTCCTGCAGTTTGAACTCCTGGCCTGGGCACTGTCCCTGAACTTTGTGCTTAAGGCTAGTACTCTACCAATTGAGCCACAGCTCCACTTCTGACTTTTTTTGGTAGTTTATTGGAGATTATAAGTCTCATAGACTTTCCTGTCCAGACTGGCTTCAAACAATAATCCTTAGATCTCAGCCTCCAGAGTAGCTCTGATTATGAGTATGAGCCACCAGCTCCCAACTCACATTGAAACTTTTTTTTTGTCGGTCATGGGGCCTGAACTCTGGGCCTGGGTGCTGTCCCTCAGCTCTTCAGCTCAAGGCTAGAGCTCTATCATTTAAGCCACAGCACCACTTCAGGCTTTTTCTGCTTATCAACCCAGGGCCTCATGTAAGCAAGGCAAGCACTCTACCGATAAGCCACCATCCTAGCCCTTTTTGTTTCTTTATTAGTATATATTAGTTGTATAGAGAATCTCACTATGACATTTCCGTACATTATATCCAGTCAGACAGACAGACAGAGAGAGAGAAGTATCTCAATCAAATTTACTCTGCTTTATCCATTGTCACTTCTCAAAACAATTTCAATGGGTTTTATTATTATATTTTTATTTTTAATTTTTATTGTTCTATTTTCATATATACAAATAAACTACTTCAGCTATGTTCATCCTCATTCACCCTTTCCATTAGCTCTCTCCACTCTGCTGGTACTCCACCCCTGCCCCACCAGAGCCTGTTTTATTTTCCTGCCATTCGTGTGTATATGTGTGCATGCTCAAGACTAGTGCTGTACCACTTGAGCCACTTCCAGTATTTTTGGTGGTTAATTGGATATAAGAATCTCGCAGGTGGGCTGGGAAGGTGGCTCAGTGGTAGAGCGCTTGCCTTGTATGCATGAGGCCCTGGGTTCGATTCCTCAGCACCACATAAGCAAAAAGAAAAAAGCCAGAAGTGGCATTGTGGCTCAAGTGGTAGAGCGCTAGCCTTGATCTGAAGAGCTGAGGGACAGCGCCCAGGCCCAGAGTTCAGGCCCCACGACCAGACCCCCCCAAAAAAACAAATCTCACAGGTGGGCATCTCTCAATTGCTCATGCCTGTAATCCTAGCTACTCTGGAGGTTAAGATCTGAGAATAGCACTTTGAAGCCAGCCTGTGCAAGAAAGTCTCAAGACTTTTACCTCTATAACTAATCACCAAAAAGCTGGAAGTAGAGCTGTGGCTCAAGTAATAGAATGCTAGCTTTGACCAAAAACATCTTAGGGACAGTGCCCACACCCTGAGTTCAAGCCCCAGAACCAGCATGCATGCTTGAGTGCACACACATACACACCAAAACAAAAACAAAAAAAAACCCCAAACGAACAGGACCAGACTCTTTCCTAGTTTAATGTTCCCAAAATTCCACTTCTCTTCCCATAAAGGTCTTTTTTACCTCCTCCCCACCCCCATAGACTTGGAACGCCAGTTGGAAGAACAAAAGAAGCAAGCCCAGGATCCCAGGCTAAAATCCCAGACGGTTCAAAATGTGGTACTAATGCCTGTGAGCACTCCTAAGCCTCCAAAAAGACCCCGACTCCAGCGGCCAGCTTCTACTACCGTCCTGAGCCCTTCACCTCCTGTCCAGCAGCCTCAGTTCACAGTCATCTCACCTATCACCATTACCCCAGTGGGTCAGTCATTTTCCATGAGCAATATTCCAGTGGCCACTCTCAGCCAGGGCTCTAGTCCTGTGACTGTCCACACACTGCCTTCTGGCCCTCAGCTCTTCCGCTATGCCACAGTGGTCTCCTCTGCCAAGAGCAGCTCACCAGACACAGTGACCATCCACCCTTCATCTAGCTTGGCATTACTAAGCTCCACCACCATGCAGGATGGGAGTACCCTGGGCAACATGGCCACTATGGTGAGCCCTGTGGAGCTGGTGGCCATGGAGTCTGGCCTGACCTCAGCAATCCAGGCTGTTGAAAGCACCTCAGAGGATGGGCAGACCATCATTGAAATTGACCCAGCCCCAGACCCTGAGGCTGAAGACACTGAGGGCAAAGCAGTCATCTTGGAGACAGAGCTGAGGACTGAGGAGAAAGTGGTGGCTGAGATGGAAGAACACCAGCATCAAGTCCACAATGTGGAGATTGTGGTCTTGGAGGATTAACCTGGGAATTCTGGGGCCAGGAGATATGTTTTGGTTTGCAATTTTAATTATTTTTTTTATCATTGTCCTCATTTCCACATAGGATTGTTTTTAAAAAAACAAAACAAAACAAAATCTCATTGTAATAACTGAAAATGTTGGGTTCCTCCTACCCCCTCATTAAAAAAATGGACAAAATAAGCTGCCCTTCCAGAAGTTGATAGGGTCACTTAGTGTCCTAATCATCCTACCCCAAGACAGTTATTTCTTTTAGAGAATGGGTCAAAATAACCAGGAACCCTTTCTGGGCTAGTCTGTCTGTGTATGCATGTATAGTTTATTCTTGTAAAGATGTGTTGACTAAACCCTGGAACACAGATCTGACACTAGAAGGCAACCCGCTTGCTTGCATGTGGATGCAGAAGTTTACTTCCTTTTGTGTCCTGGAAAGGGCTTCAGAGGCCAGTGCAAACTCTGAAACAAAAAAGAAGTTGCATTCTGCTTGGAGAGGAAGATGGGAAGCTAGCTGCATGAAGTGGGAAGTGCTATGGTAAGGATGGACAAGGGATTGATTTTACTTCCCGAGGTACAACTGATGCCTCTTGAGATCTCTGAGAGTTGTTACCACATGTGCCATTTTGAGAAGAGGCCAGTGGTAAGTAGAAGTGTTCATCCCCACTACTACCAAATGGCAGTAGTGACCTTCGGCTTTGTAGAAATAGAAATCAAAGAAAGCCACAGCTATATCTTGGGATTTGAAGTGATAGTCCCATGTTGTTAGAGCACCTTACTCCCAACCTAAGATCAGTCTGTTCATCTGCAAATTGTGTGACATATATATCACCCTGCTTCTGTGATGGTGGCTGCAGAGGAGGTGGGACTCCAAAGCCATTTTTATTGCATGACTCCAGGAGCAGAGGAGTTTCTCCTTGATATTAGCTGCCATTTTTTGGTAGGGCCTTTTTGTTATTGCTTTTGTTTTTTGGCTTTGGAACCAAAAGCAGCCACTTATTTGGTGCTTCCTCTTGTTCTCCCTTCCATCCCTCAACTCTTAATGGCATCTGTCGCCTGGATCCCACACTCTTCAGCTTTTTGGCTGATTTGGAGAACAGTGACAGGTGCTGGTTGCCTTCTTCCCCTTTTAGATTCATTTATGCCATTTATACCACAGATGTTTTTGTAAGATATTGAGCTCATAAAAAGCTTTAGGCTTGGCAGAGAAGACTGGCAATACCCCCAGCCTTTCCCAAGGCACCGACTAGATGTCTCCTCCTGAGTGAGCTGGACTCCCTGGGAAAGAAACATTGTCTGTGACATTATACTATAGGAAATGTACCAGGAATGTCAATAATAATGTCTTGGGGAGGGGTTATATTTTTTGTTTTCTAAATGTTGGTTGTATATTTAGAACTGGGCCGTTTTCCATGCTGTGATTCCTTCTCTTTGACCCTCCTCAGTGTTTGGGGCAAGAGTGGACCCTGGTTTTTATTTCTTTGGTTGCATTGTTTACTGCACTAGGAAAAATATAGGGAAATGACAGACAACTTAAATGAAAAATAGATCAAAAAGAAAGCACATACCTATTGAGTGGGAGGATTTTTTTTTAATTAAAAGCAAAATTTTGACCTGTAGTCTTCTTTTTTTTTTTTTTTAAGAGTGCACTTACCTGAAGCAGTATTTCTCCCAATAGATGTTCGAACCTGTCAAGCAAGTGGGGCATCAGTGGCTCTCACCTATAATCCTAGCTACTTAGGAGGCTGAGATCTGAGGATCACAATTAGAAGCCAGCCTGGGCAGAAAAGTCCCCATGAGACTCTTATCTCCAATTAACCACTCAAAAACCAGAAGTGGTCCTGTTGCTCAAGTATAGAGCACTAACCTTGAGCACAAACAGGCTCAGGGACAGTACCCAGGCCCTGACTTCAAGCCCTACAACCAGCAAAAAAAAAAACAACAAACTATATTCTAAACTGAGTGTGGTAGTTAACTCTGTAATTTCAACACTTGGAAGGCTGAGGCAGGAGGATTGAAAGTTTGAAGCAAGCCTGGATACATAGATTTTTTTTTTTTCCCAGTCATGAGGCATGAACTCAAAGCCTGGTCACTGTCCCTGAGCTTCTTTTGCTCAAGGCTAGTGTTGTATCACTTGAGCCACAGCATCACTTGTAGCTTTTTCTGTTTGTGGTACTGAAGAATTGAACCCAGAGCTTCGTGCATGTTAGCCAAGCACTCTACCACTAAGCAACATTCCCAGACCCTAGGCCTTGTATTTTTTTTTTTTATCACAAAACTTACATATCAGGTATCAGTAGCTCAAGCCTATAATTGTACCTACTCTCAAGAGGCTGAGGATTGTAGTTCAAAGCCTAAAGCCAGTCCAGACTGGAAAATCCAATCTATAGTTAATTGGCAAAAAAAAAAAAAAAGGCCAGGTGCTGGTGGCACCTGTAATCTAACTACTTAGGATGCTGAGATCTGAGGATCACAGTTCAAAGCCAGTCTGGGGACATCTGAGAGACTCTTATCTCCAATTAACCACCAGAAAACTGCAAGTGGTGCTGTGGGTTAAGTGGTAGAGTGTTCACCTTGAGCTGAAGTGCTCAGGGACAGTGCCCATGCCTCCCTCCTCAAAAAAAAAAAAAAAAAAAAAGTGGGCCAAGTGGGCCAAGCTCCAGCTTGCTACTTAGGAGTCTGACATCTGATTGTGGATCAAAACCAGCCTGGGCAGGAAAGTTCACAAGACTTTTTTTTTTTGGCCAATCCTGGGGCTTGAACTCAGGGTCTGGGCTCTCTCTGTCCCTGAGCCTCTTTGTGCTCAAGGTTAGCACTCTACCACTTGAGCCATAGAACCACTTCTGGCTTTTCCTGAGTAGTTTATTGGTGATAGGAGTCACACACTTTCCTGCCTAGGCTGACTTCAAACTGATATCCTCAGATCTTAGCCTCCTGAGTAGATAGTATTTTAGGTGTAAGAGACCATCTGTGTCAATAGACTCTTATCTCCATTTAACCACCAGAGAACCGGAAATGGAGCTGTGGCTCAAAGTGGAAGATAGCACTAACTTTAAGTGGAAAAAGCTCAGGGACAGCACCCAGGCCCTGAGTTCAAGCCCCACAACTGCAAAAAAAAAAAAAAAAAGCTGGAATAGAGGTACAGCCGTGAGTGAAAAAGCTGTGTGAAAGCACAAGATCACAAGTTTAAAAATAAACAGTAGGGGTCTGGTAGTGTGTTTGTCTAACATGCTTGAAGCCTTGGGTTCAATTCCTCAGTACTAAATAGACAAAAAAAAAAAAGCCAGAAGTGACACTATGGCTCAAGTGGTAGAGTGTTAGCCTTGAGCAAAAGAAGCTCAGGGACAGTGCCCAGGCCCTGAGTTCAGTCCCCAGAACTGGCAAAAAATACAGTAGGGTTGGAGGCATGGCTCCCATGGCTCAGTTGATAGCGTACCAGGCAATGAGCAAAAGCATCAGGTATCAAGTTTCTCAGTCTCAGACAAAAAAAAAAAAAAAGAAAGAAAGAAAACAGAACTGTTGTAATCTTAGGTGTCAACGCACTGTGTGTATTTTATATTATTATTGTCAGTTGTGGGCTTGAACTCTCTCAAGGTGAGAGCTCTACCACTTGAGCCACAGCACCACTTCCAGTTTTCTAGTGGTTTATTGGAGATAAGAGTCTCATGGAGGGCTAAGAAGGTAGTTCAGTGGTAGAGTGCATGCCTTGCATGCATGAGGCCCTGGGTTCGATTCCTAAGCACCACATAAACAGAAAAAGCCGGCAGTGGTACTGTGGCTCAAGTGGTAGAGTGCTAGCCTTGAGCTGAAGAGCTGAGGGACAACGCGTAGTCCCAGAGTTCAAACCCCACGACTGACCAAAAATAAATAGTCTCACAGACTTTGCTGCCCGGGCTTTGAACTGTGATCCTCAGATCTCAGCCTCCTGAGTAGCTAGGATTACAGGCATGAGCCAGGCTTATGCATTATATTTTTTTCAGTGGAAAATATTAGTTTGAGAATGCTCCATGGGTTTCAGCCAATGGCCAGCCTTTAGTGACATACTGAAACAGATCTTTATGTTGGGGTAAGTGCAGTTCTAAGAATGCTGACTTGGAGCTGAAAGAACAAAGGAGCAAGTACCTACCCCAGCTTGGGGGTAAAAGTGGGGGTTCAGCAAATAGGGGAGTACTTCTCAGAGGTGTATTCTTAAATTGGTGTAGGAGAGACCATGATATACTTTTATTTTCCAAGTAATTGGACTTACTTACATAACAGAAAAAAAAATCATTATTGATGCTTCTGCTGCCAAGCCAGGTAGTCCATGGTATAGTTTCCTGAAAGTACCTCATTGGAGAAGACAAGTCAGACATGGGCTTCTTTGGGTAGCCATCAGACGCAGGACAGATAAAGGGTAAATACTTCAATCCTTTCTGCTATGTAGTATCCACAAAGGCCTGAGAGCTGTACAATTATCTGCTCACATTTGTAATCCTAGCTACACAGGAAGCTACGGTCTGAAAGTTCCAGTTTGAAGCCAGCCCATGAAGAAAGTCTATGAGACTCTTATCTCCAATTAACCAGGAGTGGAGCTGTGGCTCAAGTGGTATAGCACTCGTCTTGCGCAAAAAAGATAAAGGCTGGGCGCTGGTGGCTCACGCCTGTAATCCTAGCTACTCAGGAGGCTGAGATCTGAGAATCGCGGTTCAAAGCCAACCCGGACAGGAAAGACCGTGAGACTCCTATCTCCAATAAACCACCAGAAAACTGGAAGTGGCGCTGTAGCTCAAGTGGTAGAGCGCTCGCCTTGAGCTGAAGAGCTGAGGGACAGCGCCCAGGCCCAGAGTTCAAGCCCCACGACCGACAAAAAAAAAGATAAAGAACAGCACCCAGGCCCTGAGTTCAAGCCCCAGGACCAGCACCAGCACAAAACAAAAATGTAGCACAATACAGGGAATTTCAAGGTAATACTGAGTTATAGCTGATCCAAGATTTGGCACTATGTAGGAGGTGGAAAGGACAAAAAAAAAAAGGTTGAATTCTGAAAATAGACATGAGATCGTGACTCACCTTCAGCAATATGGAAGAAATAGTCTCCTGAGACAAAAAGCCAGACATGCTGGGTGTTGGTGGCTCACGCCTATAATCCTAGCTACTCAGGAGACTGAGATCTGAGGATTCCAGTTTGAAGCTTGTTTGTAAAGAAAAGTCCATGAGACTGTATCTCCAACTAACTAACCACCAAAAAGCTAGAAGCGGAGCTGTGACTCAGACTGCTAACCTTGAGCAAAAAAGCTAAAGGACAGTAGGCAGGCCCTGAGTTCAAGACCCAGGACGTGCACAGGCACAAAAGAGCCAAATGAGTTCATGTGATGATCTCTTGCTTCATCTATTTCCTGCAGATGACTTGGTTTCATTCTTTATGGATGAATAATAGTTTATGTGCATATTCACATTTTCTTTAGTCATTCATCAGTTTTGGGTACTTGGCTCATTCTGTAGCTTGGCTGTTGTGAATAGTGCTGTGATAAACAGTAGTTTTCAGGTATCTTGATTATACGTTGACATACATTCCTTCAGATATATACCTAAGTATTATAGCAAGATCATATTGTAGTTCCTCTTTTTAGCTTACTAAGAAACCTTCAGACTGACTTCTATATTGGCTGCCCTAATTTACATCCTACCAATAGTAGACCACTTTCCAATATGAACAGTTTCCTACTGGTAGACAAATCCCTTATGCCTGAAGCAAATCCTCCCTGAGAAATTCTGGTGGTGTGCTAAGGATGTAGCTCAGTGGTAGACTTTCTTGCCTCGCATGTACAAAGCCCTGGGTTCTAGTTCCTCTTCCCCTCTCTTCCCCCCCCCCTAAAAAAAACAATCAGTTGAAAAGCAGGGAGCCAGTAGCTCACGCCTGTAATCCTAGTTACTCAGGAGGCTGAGATCTGAGGATCGAGATTCAAAGCCAGCTTGGGCAGGAAAGTCCATGAGATTCTTATCTCCAGTAAGTAAACCACCAGAAAACTGGAAGTGGCTCTGTGGCTCAAGTGGTAGAGCCCTCGCCTTGAGCTGAAGAGTTCAGAGACAGCATCTAAGCTGAGTTCAAACCCCACAACCAACAACAACAACAAAATTCAGTTGAGAAATCTGTTACAGTCAATAATATGTTTACATAAAAACCAAGATACATGGGGCTGGGAAAGTGGCTCAATGGTAGAGTGCTTGCCTTGCATGCATGAGGCCCTTGGTTCGATTCCTCAGCACCACATAAGCAGAAAAAGCCGCAAGTTGGGCTGTGGCTCAAGTGGTAGAGTGCTAGTCTACAGCTGAAGAGCTGAGGGACAGTGCCCAGGCCAGAGTTCAGGCCCACAACCGACAAAAAAAAAAAAAGATACACCAAACCTGGTGGTGGTATGTAGCTATAATCCCAGCATGCAGGAAGTAGAGGCAGGAAGAGCTTGAGTTCAAGTCTAACCTAGGCAACAGAGTGAGATTGCACTCAAAAAGAAGAGACAAAAAGTGGTTATAGATCTCATTAAAAAAAAAAAAAAAAAAGTGGTTATAGACCCCCAATTACTCAGGAGGCTGAGATCTGAGGATTATTGTTCAAAGCCAGCCCAAGCAGGAAAGTAGTCCA